TATATTTTCATATCATATTTATATCGTATTATTATATCATATTTTTAATTATTAAATCTAATTTTACTCTCATTTTTGGAAAACTCTTTTGATCATTAATTATATAGATACTTCCAACAACTTAATTTTACCTTTTTTAAAAGTAAACTTTTTTTTTCCTATAAATGATTTAAACACTGCAAAATTAACTTGTCAAATTATGAATTTTTTTTTTTTGTAGTTTTATCTCAAGTCTCAACCTCAGTTTAAGCTGAGAACCATATAAGAGATGGGTGAATTTTCATAGAAACAGGCTAGCATGCATGGCCACACGACCTAATGGACCTAAGTCAAGACTCCAAATCACATGCTTAAAGGACTTTAATTAGAATCCGAGGCAGTGAAAGATGGTTTTGGGGCATTAAATTGAGTGTCCCTAAGGCAAGGGAATCACACACGTGTTGAGAGGCCTTGAAAAAAGTCCTACAAGACCTTACCCTAATTTTGCGAAAGAAAAAAAAAGGTCTTTAATTTTTTTTTAATCCTCTTGATCCCTCCAAGCACATGACCCCTAATATCTTTACATTAAAATTACATCCCTTCTGTCATATGGCCCCAACAATACTAACTACCCATTTGCTCAATTACTCAAAGTATTGTATATATGTATTGTACAATGAAGGGTCATTTTCCTCAAATGAAGAAACAAGAAGTATCCTCCTTAAACGAGAAAGGAACAACATTAATGGGGCTTTTACCATACATGTTTAAGACATGTCAATATCATTGATCACTAGGTGTAAGCTACTGTAAGTTATCAAGATTGCAACTAAACATGAAAACAATCAGACCAGATCCTAAATATCAGACAGGCTTAAAGAGAATATTGCTTTGAATGAAAATCTTCTTATGATCTTTACTATAATTTATTCAACCAGCAGTGGTTTTTTTCTGGTACAATGCATCATTTCTGTTCAATTTTTCATACCATAATAATAATAATGATAATAATATTTTTATGTTTCTAATATAATTTTTTTAGAGACAAAATACATTATTAATTCAAAATCGATTAATTTGAGTTAACATAAAATTTCATATCAATCACAACACACACCCAAAATTTCCGATGTTTTTATCTGTTTGAGTATGTATATAACTCCACTTTCTTTTGTAAGTTCAGAGAGACAAAAGTATTGCTAGAAATGATCATTTTTTCAGTATAAACAAAATATGAGTTCAATTCTTTACTGAAATGAAATGAAATGATGAAATTGAAAATGGCAAGCAAAATAATGGGTCCCTGGCTTCAGATGGAAGAATTTGTTTTGGACATTAGAGTGTACAAATTGTCCTTTGAACGTGAAATATGTAGTTCAAATGTCTCCTCCTAGGACTACATGAAGGACATGAACTGCCAAAAGAAAACCATGGATATAATTTTTTTTTCCAAGTTACCGGAGAAAGATTGGATGCCCCTTGCCTGGGGACCCAACACCTTGACTTTCCTCCATTTTCAAACAAATACCTAAAACCCAATATTTTTCTTCTTATTCCACTTTCAATTATTATTTTTGGATTCAAATGACAGGGAACAAAAGCTTTATCATAACTAATCTCCAATTATGTAATTGGCTCTGATTAGTTTGGAGAAAAAAGCTTTATTTGGTTGTATAAAATTGTTAAATTAGTCTTAAAATTAAAAAAAAAAAAGTGAGTCTTCATTTTTGGACTAATAATTGTTCATCAACATGTGGAACTTAATAAATACTATATGCTAATTAACTAGAATTTATATTTTGGGCGCTCCGATTAATTTGTTTGGATCAATTTCCGGTGCTTGTAATTCTCCTTCTTCTATCTCTTAGGTTTCGGTCTCTTTTGTATAAAAAATTAATTTCGTTAAATAATTAATCCAAATTTAATTAATCATTCAAGTTCCATTCATTTTTAGACACTGAAAGCCACATTTGCAGATGCCTTCAATTAATGACACTAATAATTGAACCAACAGCCTGTAGAACTTAATAGCTTCTTTTCTGACAATGCCTTGCCTACTGCTCCTGTTTTTTCAAATGCTTTTGATTAATAAAGAATAAACATATAGTGACCAACTCAAATGACAATAATCTGTTGAAATTAGTAGAGTGATGGGCCAGCAATACATGTTGGGGAAGATTCTGTAACATGAAACCCCCCCAATTCCATGGCAGTTGCAATCCTTGTTGGTTTGAAATCATCAAAGGAAAGAAAATTTATTGGTCTCTATTGATTTATGTCATAAGTTGAATGGAACACAACCTGCAAATTGTCCTCTAAACCATTATGTTGTATTTGACTGGGTTTGCAACCTTATACTCCTTCCATCAAGCATAAGGGATAAGTTTTCTAGGAGCAATGTCTTTGGTCAGAGATGAAAAAAAGTCCCCACCTGGCATCATTGTGTCTGTAAGATTAGAAATTAAGATTCAGATCCCAAACGATTCTTTTTTCTTTTCTTGTCTTTTAATTTACAAGCAATAACGCAAATTTTATTTGGTATACGTTCACTAAAAATTCTGTCAAAAGAAAAAACATACTTTTTCATATAGGAGGGAACATGGTGGCTGTGGCTCGGCACCTGGAAATGGGTAGTATCCCAGCTTGTAAGCACAAAAGGACTGAGAAAAGATCTAAATCAAGCAGGTTTTACACGAAGAAGGTTTGCCTCAGCATGTTCTATTCAATACAGGTGGCAGAAGCGGTATTCTTAAAAAAACAAAGAAATCAGAACCAAGTTAAGATGATAAGGATCAGCCCCCTTTTTCTTGCGCCAAAAATCTTAGCATTTCCGAAAGAACTGGAGTTGTATCTCTTTTCTAGTTCCATTCAAGAGTTCTTATGTGTTTCTACGACCCTTTAAACTCCGAAATTTTGACCAATCCCTTTTCTTTTCTTAGGAACACATTCATCGTCAAATAATGGTAATCCCACGATTAATTACTTCATTTATGAATTTCATAGTAATAGAAATACATGTCCTACCGAAACAGAATTTGTAACTTGCTATCCTCTTGCCTAGCGGGCAAGGATTTACCTCCGTGGAAAAGATGATTCATTCGGATCAGCATGAAAGCCCAACTCCATTGCATTGCCAGAATCCATGTTGTATATTTGAAAGAGGTTGACCTCCTTGCTTCTCTCATGGTACAATCCTCTTCCCGCTAAGCCCCCTTTCTCCTCGGTCCACAGAGACAAAATAAGAAAAATGCAAGCATGGAGACAGATACCAGCAGCAGAACAATCAATGACAAAAAAAGATTTTACTGCCTAGCTACCTCCATAATGAGGAGCTTTTATACGATACAAGACAGAAACTAGTTTCCTTCTATAAATGTAATGTATTCCAATCCACTTTTTATTGCATCTTATAATGAATTATTGGTAGCAGAAAAAAACTAAAACTGATCAGTATAGACATAATTTCTACTTCTGACAATCGACACGCATGTAGTTAATTATAAGAAAAAAATTTTGTTCCATATTGTCATATAGAATTGTAAGGAGAATGAGAGCTTTGAGAGTTATGATCTTCTCTCCTGGTTCTTTGTATAAAAAATTTTAAGATTTTATGAAGTATTGGGTAGATTAAACTTGTTTAAGGGTTGGAACAAAAAATTAAAAACCGGTACATAATTTTTAGACCGTTTAAATCGAGCCCGAACCCGACTCATTGGGCCATCAACACCTCTTGTTGGGATTGGCAAGTTGTTGAAAAACCTGTGTTCTATCTGTAATTACATTTTGAAAAAGATCTTAGTCAACCAGGCAAGCATGCACCCACCACATGACAGATTGGCAAGTCGGGAATGCCTATATGGGCTATGGCTATAGTTGGTGAGCCTGCTATCCAATGGTACCTTTGATAGGATTTGCAAATTCATTTTCAAGCAGATTTCTCATATTTTTCAGCATTGCAACAACTCAGTTGCCTTCCATGGAGTTCTACTTTTGCTTTCTCCTCTCTCCAATGAACTTTCTTAATCAAAGAAATTCAGAAGAAGGATCATCCCATTTGTCTAACAGCACCCCATGTCTTCCCCCTCGACAGTCCCCTTAATTCTTCAATACATTGAATAGTTGGGACATAAATACCACAAATATGCTTCTTTTTCTATAACTTTTAATTATTAATAATGACCATGAGCGTTATTTGCCTAGATCCCTTGGATTCTGTCCATTTATGAACCAAAGAGGGGGGAAAATGAATTTGACAGTAAAAAATCAGCTTGACCCTTTTAGGTCACTGGTTTTTTTTTTTTTTTCCTACAGGAATGTATATGCAACTGATCTCTGAAACACCCTTTTCAGTAATGATCTTTGGAGTGTTTGCAGCTGCCATGGCAGCAATAGACACAAATAAAACCTAACAAAAGAATATATACATATGGCAAAGGCCAAGGTTTTTTTTTTTTTGGAAAAAGACACTGATGAAAGAGCAGTAATCCAAAAGGCCAGAAACTACAGTTGGCTCTATGGCTATCATTGCCAGAGTGGAAGAGAATCAGTCCAAGCAAGCTGAGTTTGAACATCTTTGCTTCTTTCTTCGATGGTCTCAGATTCTTTAATTTTTAAGGTCTTAGATTCTTCAATCTCCTTAAAAATTGTAAGTCAAATGAATTTTTTTTAACAAACAGTTATTGTTAAGATTTCAGTTCAATATTTTCATTTCTACCAAGTAGCCTTGCTATCCAAACAACAAGACATAAAAAAAAAAAAAGCAATTTTTTTTTTATTTTAATCAAATTTATGTACCATTTTTATTAAAAACTTTAAATTATTTCACTTTCCTATTTTTTTTTTCATGTCAGTGATTAAATTTGCCAGAATCTACACCTTTAGATTTGAGTATTTTACATTAGTCAACAAGAATGAGAAAAGAAAAACTATGGTAAGCCTTTTTAAAAACTTATCCTAAACTAAAATTATTTGGATAAATAAACCAAAATTTAGTTGTCCAAAGCACTCCCATAACCCAAAAATGGAATCATTGCCGACTGCCAAGCGTTGAAACTCTATTGATTTGCGGCCCGTGAACGCTCACCCTCACACCATCCCTTCCCAAAAACCAGCAAAAACCTGCAAAAAGAAATCAAACAATGGCTGCATTTTCCATTCACAGCTACACTTTCTCTTTTAATCTCCAAATCTTCATCCTTTTGTTCCTTACAGCAAAACCAATTTCCTCTTTTGCCCATCAAGCCCTTGATAACAACCCCAGGTTTGCTCCCCACATTTCCCTCTTTGGTGATGCCAAGGTTGAAGAGGGAGGCTCCCATGTTCAACTCACGAGCCATCACGCGCCAAGTTCTGGACTTTTATTGCTTGATAAGCCCTTCAAGTTCGTGGAGGAAAGGAATGCGGGTAGACCAATGTCGTTTTCAACCGAGTTTTCCTTTTCTATGTCTCCTGGTAAAGGTGATGGTTTAGCTTTTGTTCTTATTCGTAATGGTTTTCAGACGAGGTTTCAGGGTCAAGGGTCTTTTGGTCTTTCTGGTGAAAATATGTTTCTGGGTATTGAATTTGATACTAAGAAAGATGATAAAGTTGGTAATTTGAATGCAAATCATGTAGGAATCGATGTTGGGAGTCTTGAATCTGTTAAAATTAGCAATTTGTCATCTCTGAATTTGGTGTTAAACAATGGGGAGGTGTTGAAATCTTGGATTGATTATGATTCAAGCTCCAAACTTTTACAAGTTAGATTGAGTAAATTAGATGACAAGAGGCCTTTCAATCCAATTCTAGCATACCATATTGATTTGATAAAAATGTGGGGCAATGGGGATGTTTTTGTTGGTATAATATCAACGACAAATGGGGAATCTTCACAGAGTAGTAGCAATGTTTATTCATGGAGATTTAGGGTAAGAGATGTTTCAAGTTGGATGCATTCATTGCCTGCTGATCCACTGGGTCATGTGGATAAGGATAGTGAGGAATTTAGAGCAGAAACCAGGAAGTTTTGTGCTTTGACAATTTTAGCTGGGCTAATTTTTGCTACAGGATGTGGAGCCTTGTTTGCGTTTGTGATGCTGTTTATGTGGGCAATTTTGGCTAGTAGGCACACGGTGTTCCCGGTAGAGTCTCGAGCAGTTCCTGGAGATTTCAGGTATGAGAAGGTCAATGTGATTGTAGAGAAGGATAATCCAAGGTGATAAGGATTAGAAGATGGAGCTTACAAGGTTATGATGTGAATTTTGTGTTGTTGTTGCTGTTGTTGTTACTAAATTACGTAGTTATGTGACAGACTTTGTATTTTTGTTGTTGTGGATTGTTGTATGTAGCTGTAATGCAATGTAGTCATGTTTTCTGCTGGAGAACATAACATTCTGAACATTCTGAATTCTGATGTAAGAAAACCATTTCAAGACATGCTTGAATTGAAGGCATGGTGTTTATATTTTTCGAAATGCAAGATCTGTTGCTTACAGGAGAAATGCTTCTTGTAAAAGTTCATAATCTTATTGACAAGGTTGCCAGTAGTCATAACGTAAGCATCTAGTTCATCTGAATGGATTGTGTTCTAGCTTTGCTGAACCTTTTAAATCATCTTAATCCATTCAAAAAACATCTAACTTCATTGGTATCAGAGGTCCATTACAGGTTTCGTATCCGATTGAAAGACTCTTGCATTATATGCTTAATGCTCTTATTTCTTGCTTGTAGTTGATTCTCCTGCACCCCATAGCAATCCTTTGCGTGCCTTATTGGGTTTCAAACGAATCTATTCGTTCCCCTTTCTAGTTTTTCTTTCTTTTCAGCTGCCTCCTCCTGTAATAGCAGACCATTTATGCAACTAGTGCGCATCGAATTCGAGCAGGGGAAGCTTTTGAAATATAAAAAGGTTGAAAATTTCCTTCCAAGAATAATCATTCATGGAGCTTGAGCAAAAGCCATAACTAAGGCACTCACAGAAAATAGCAGATCAGCAAGAAAATTTGATTTATTCCTGCCAAAACCTGTCGTTTATCCATCCCGCCAATGCATCACCGACAATAGCACCTATTACAGCCTTGTTCACTATGAGTTACTGCAAATCAACACATTATTACAAAACATTGAATCAGCATGGAAACCAGCAATTTATTTATCTAAATTAAACAAGTAAATCAACCAACAAATCAATACATACTCAAAACAAATCCAATATAAATTTAAACAAAACTCACATGTGATTTAAATTTAAGACCTCGCCACGAAGCCAAGCTCTGGTAGTCATTTTCAATATCATGTCAACGGATCTAAATATCAATAGGCTAATCTATCAAATACATAGAGAAGAAAATTGAGGATATGGTTGCAGACAAGCAGGTAATCCATATTTCCTTCCATAGCTTTTGAAATAGAAAAATTATTGGGTTATCCTATACCCAATGTACCAAAGTCCAAACCTTGAAAATTGATGCTGATAGCCTAACCATTTATATATCCCGCAAGCATGCTTTTGTGTCCAAAGTCCAAATGACTATTGAAATTTATTTGCTTAATTCGCCTATTGCCACTAGCGTGATCTGCTGCAATGCTCTAACCTCATTTCTTTTTTCTCTTTTACGTGCATCATTTGGTTTCAAATAATTCATGTTTTCGGTTACTTCGATTAATTTAAAATTAAAATGTAAGATAATTTTTATAAGGAATTCAAATATCTTATATCAAAAACTTCTTCAATCAATTATCATTTTTTTTTTATATTTCGAAAATATTTTGACTAATCCATCTCTTCCTTAATATCAAAATTCCTCCTATATTATATCATTATATCAAATGCATTTTAATAATTCAACATTAATTCTCTAAATCGACACTAAATTTCAATGTCGATTGAGAGCATTGGTGTCATGAGAGTCACATTGATTGCTTTTTTTTTTTTAAAGGATTGAAATCAATTTAAATTATGTAGCAAGAGATTTTTTTTTTTTTTGCCAATTAATTAGATGTCCACTCATTTTGATATTTTTTGGGGGAGATAAATAATTAGATTTTTTTTTCAGAAACACATGCAATAGTGAATCTTATTTCTATTTTTCTAGGTCTCAAATTGATGCAGGAACAATGGTAGAATTGTTTGAATCCCAATCAATTCTATTGGACAGGACAGTTCCACCCAGTAATTCCCAGTCTACAAGATGGAGGCAACTAATTTGGGACAGTAAGGGGCAGTCTCCCTCAAGGAACGGTCAGGAAGCCCCTAAATTTTGTTCTTGGGTCCTACAATAAAAGTACTTCTCAAAAAAAAAAAAAAATGCTAAGCAATTTTTACATGTTGAAACTCTTCTTTCCGTCATTCCTAATGAATATAAAAAAAGCCAGTTTGGACGCCCATTTTTATATGTTTATTATTAAATTTGATAATTTTAAATATGATATAATAATATAAAATAAAAATAATATAAAAAATAATATGATTTAAAATTTTAATAAAAATTATAAATAAATTTATAAAAAAATTTATTTTATATTTTTATATCAATACAAATTAAGATACATAATTTATATATAAAATATGATATAAATATATTAATTATTAATGTTTTATATAATTTACATATATAAATTATCAAATTTATTTATGATATAAAATCTTTTTAATTGATTAAATTTGTATTACGAATCAATCTCGCGATTTGATGTATAGTATTTAATTTTTAATTTGAATGATTGAAATAAAAAATTTTGTTTTACATTTTTTAATGTCTCAAGTCTCGTTCAACTTTTTGACCTTCGCACATCATCAACAATCTTAATCATTGAAATTAAAGATCCACTAAAGCATGATTAAAAAACCGATTAAAAATATATGTTTTTAAAAAAATTCTAAAAAAGAGAGATTCAAGAAAAATGGAGCATGTGCCAAATTTGAGGTCATTATTGATTTGTCAATTTGACTGGCAATACTTCCCTACCTAACATCCACTCATTTATCAACTTTGAAATCTAACAGCAACTTGGCAAGTAGGCTTTTTTTGGTTAGAAAAATGGATTTTATGGTTAAAACACGTACAAATTGCACCAAAATCTCTCGTAATCTCAATCACTTTTTCATATGAAATTTCTAGGCAAATTCCATAAATAGTAGGAACCATGAAATTTGAAAAAATTTCATAAATGCTATGATGATAGAAAGTACTCACTCATAATAGAAAAAATTTTTTTATTTGAAAAAAAGGGTTTCGAGCTTTGCTATTTGAAAAAAAAAATCATATATCAATAAAGTGAATTAAATGCATAAATAGATATTTTTTGAAACTTTATTTAATATTTATTAATAGTATTTTGGGGTGTTTTAATTGAAAGGGAATTGGGTAAGTAACGTTGGCTTATAATAAGAAAGTACTATTAAAAAATATTGAAATTAATTATTTAAGATGTACTTAAATGCTCAAAGATGATGCTTTAATTGAGATAATTAATAATTAATGGTAAGTTTACGTAAAATTAAAAAAAAAATTCATGTAAATAACTACAAATTATATTTAATAATCTCAAATAAATATAAATTATATTTAATGATTTTAAATAAATTAAATATTAAATTTTAAATTTTAAAGTGTTGCCTTAATGAAATATCAGTGATTAATTGAACAAGTTATCTTTATGATAAGATATTGTGGTAACTGAGCATGCACTGATAAGGTATCCAAGAGAGTTGGTTTTATTAATTGAACAAGAATTAACCTTGTTGATCGAGCAAATAAGTGTAATTATATTTTGATTGGTTTGTGTAATTTGATCAATATTTTCAAATTTGATTGCAAATATAAAATAAGATTCAACAAAAAGGAATCAAATTTCGATGAAAATCTTAAATTGGATAAATTTGTTTTCAACGGCAAAAGCATGTCATTTTGATTGAGATTGTTTTTATCATAATCCGTATTGCAATGCCAAAACTTAGGCTTGAGAATTTACACACGAAATAATTCCTCTTCCCATCAATTTATAATGACTACAGCGTGTGTTAACTCTTTCACACCATTATGATAGGGATAAAATTTGGAAACATAAAAAAAAAACAACAAAAGTTATTATATTTTAAATTGAAATGAATTCAAATTTAGTTTTTTGTTCATACAATTATTTGATAGCATTTAGTATTTTTAGGGTTTAAAATTGAATACATGTAATTTGTTTGTGTTTTCTCCAATTACAATATCTTTTATAAAAAAAATAAACAAAAAAATTCTTTACATATTCATCATGTGAAATATAAAGAATTAAATCAAATTATGTTAAAGAATATTTATATAACAAAGTCTATGTAAAAACTATATATATATTTTACTTTATTCAACACTATAATCTAAATTTGTTCTTTGATTATACTTTCAAAATAATATATAGATCTTTTTATCAAAACCAAAAAAAAAAAAAAATTGATACTAGGTGAATCTAATGTCCATCATTTTTTTTTTGTTTTAAAAATTGAATTATAATAAAATGAAAAATTATGAATGTAATTGAGTCAAACTAAATCGATACAATGACAAATTTAAACTTGTTATTCGAAATTTGATTCAAGTTTGATTAAATTTTAATTTTTAAATTTTAGATAAAAATCAAATTATTCAATTTCACTTAATTATGCTTGTTTAATTAAAAAATAAATTTGATTCTTATATTTAATTTTAAACTCAATTAAGTATTTGAACTCGAGCTCGAATTGATATATAATAAAAATATATTAAAATTTAAAATCTCAATTAGACTCATAAATTATTTGAATTAAATATTAAAATATTTAAATTTGACTCATTGGATAAATTGATCTATTTAAATTTTAATTCGACTTGATAATAATTAAATTAAATTTAAATTTTTTTAAATAAAATTTTAATAATTTATGAGTATTAATATATTATTTATATCTTTATTTTAAAAAAAAATTCAAAGAAGCGAGAACAAGCAAAGAAAATTCATAAAATTAAAAAATATATATTTTTGATCATTTAAGAGAGCTCTACATTAAAAGGAGAGGGAAAAGATTGAAATTTGAACCCAATCTTAATGTTTTTTTAGCTAGACCTAATAGCTTAAGATAAAATTAAAATATATTAGTATTATGTAAATAATTATGGGAAAATAATTTAAGGAAAAAAAATGGAAATGACTTTTTGTGCGGATGACTTCTTTGTGATGTGAGCCAGGAAACGGATCCCCCTTAAAAGACAATAAAATCCAGTACGACAGCTGTGCAAGAAAAGTCTTACTTGTGGATTAGATTCTTTACTTGTCAACTCATTAAACCCAATCTCTCACATCCTCGTCAACCGTTGATCATCAATGATCAAAATCGTTGACATCAAAGATCTAGGGGTGATTTGATTTGGTTTTTACAAATAATATATAATATAAAATTTTAAAATTCAATTCAGAATTTTGTTTTTTTTACAATCAATTTGATTTAAATTAAATTTTATTGATTTATCAATTTTAAATTTAAATTTTTTTATTTATATATATATCATTTTAATAAAATTTTTAATATATTTAAATAAATTTATATATAAAATAATTATTTTATTTTAAAAAATTTAAAATATATAAAAATTAAAAAAATACATAATTCGATTTTTTTTAATTTATCATATTTCAATCTAAATCTAAATCTAATTCAATATATACATTTAATATTTAAATTTAATTCAAATTAAATTAAAAAATATCCAAATCAAATCCAATATTATAATTTTAAACCAATTTTTAATATTCTCAATTTTTTTTCTTTACCCTATAAAGTTCCACTAAAGCATGAAAATATCATGATTTGAGACAAAAGAATATAATAAATGATTACGCTTAAAACACAATTAAAACATTTTTATTATTTTGGTTTTAACTTTTTATAAAGATCCAAGAAAATGGTGCCGCCATGGATCTTTTATATATGTGAAAAGAGAGGAAGCAGTTGCTTAGACGTTTCTGTCAAGCGCCAAACAAGGAGCATCGATTTGATTCTTTGAGAAGAACCCAGATTTTCTATAATTGGAGCAGACGGTTCTTTGTTGGCGGTGACAAACTCTGGCATTGAATTCGAGAGGAAAGTGAGAGAGAAAAAGAGCCATTGAATTCCAATATAAAAGCCCTGGCTTTTATAAATGTAATTGAAGAAGAAGAAGAACCCGAAAAGGTTCAAGAAGTGGAAAGAGAGTGCCTTTTGGGAGAGGAAGGAAAGAGAGAGCCAAACATGGCGACGGATAACAGAAATGAGGTGGAGGATGATAAGTTAACTGTTGAGGTCCCTGAAACTGCCCATCAAATTAGCACTGGTATGTTCTTTTGTTAGCCATTTACTGTGAAAGATCGTTCCTTTTCTTTCCTTTTTCTAATTCTGGGTTTTTCTTTTGTCTTCTGTTGTATTTTGTTTGATATTTTCATGCTACAACACTTTATTCTGAAATATTGTTTGTTTTGAGTTCTGGGATTTTGTCATAGTGAAAGTAGTTTCTTTTGGGGTCTCCTGTTGTGGGATTTTCATTGTGATAATGGGTTTCCTTTAGGGTCTTTTATTGCATATTTTGCCAGAGTTCAACCTTTTTCTTGTTCTATCTGTTATCTTACTGTTTTTTATGCTGCAAAATGTTATCTTTTGGTTTTTGAGCCATTTTCATAGTCATAATAACTTTTCTTTTTTCTTTTTCTTTAGCAAAAACTTGAGTTTAAAGTACTTTGTTGGAATTAAGTTCTTGATTGGCGTCTTGAACCTTTTTTTTTCTTTTTTGTAAGATGAAGCTAACCGAATGTTGACATTTTATTTTCATAGTTATCTGGTTTTGCTTTGCACAACTGGGAACCCATATTCCATAGTAGTGAAATAAATAGGAATCAATTCCTTATAATACTTGATCTCGGGTGAGTTTTGGTCTGATGATGTTCCATTTTCCTTTTGAGCTCATTCGATCTTTTTGGTGAGTTTTCAGATTCATGGTTCCAGGCAGGTTTTGTCTTGACCACTGGTATCAACAGTGTATTTGTCTTGGGATATTCTGGGACCATCATGGTCCCTCTTGGCTGGATAGGAGGTGTAGTCGGTTTACTTTTAGCCACCATGGTATCGTTATATGCAAATATGCTTGTTGCTAAGCTCCATGAATTTGGGGGAAAGAGGCATATCAGATACAGAGATCTTGCAGCACAAATATATGGTATGAGCATAATTAAAAGGAAAATTGTTGAATCTCCTTTAGTTTGAATCTTATTTATTTCATTTGTTGCTTGATGAGCATTTTTTTTCAACAGGTAGGAAAGCTTATTCTATTACATGGGCATTGCAATATGTCAATCTGTTCATGATTAACATAGGATATCTCATTTTGGGTGGTTCTGCTTTAAAGGTAATACTGGAATGACTAAGTACACTTATTTTCCACGTCACATATCCATCTTTAGGTTAAAGATAGATGTTACAAAAGGTTGCAAAATATCTGCAAGAGCATTTGATAGTCTGCTATTCTAACATTTCTACTTTTTTTATGGTTATCGGCTTTATCAATTAGAACTCTGTTTAATGATTTATATAAAGTTCATAGATATCATAGTTAAATTGCTTGAGGTTTCTCCCAAAATCTTTAACATATGAATTTGCATGCAGGCTTGTTATGTCCTTTTCGAGGATGACCATACCATGAAGCTTCCATACTTTATTGCCATAGCTGGATTTGTGTGTACTTTGTTTGCCATAGCAACACCTCATCTGTCATCTCTAAGAGTATGGTTAGGATGTTCAACGGTTCTCAGCCTGATATATATCATTGTAGCATGCGTGCTGGCAGCTAAAGATGGTAAGTTCTCATATTTGGTATTTATGCTGTTGTGTTTTTTTTACCAAATGGAAAATATTCTAGCCTTTTGGCAATTTTGACTTGTGTGGAATACACTTAACACAAATTCAAGTGGCTTATGTTAATATCATTTAGTTCCAATTGAGTTTGATTTCGAACCCTGTCGTACTCTTTTTGTTGATCTGATATTGCTGATGAAATTATATAGTTTTTGCTGCATTTATATGGCAATAATGATTCCCATGCTGTTAATAGGAACCAATGCATCATCCAGAGATTATAGCATACCAGGGTCATCAACTAGCAGAATTTTTACAACCATAGGAGCATCTGCAAATCTTGTGTTTGCATTCAATACTGGAATGCTTCCAGAAATACAGGTAGGCTAGATTATTTTAATGATTACAGTTCTGCTTCCCAATGTTCAGTCATAGAACCTTGAAAATCTTCCTTACCACTATGAATTAGTTTCACCAAAAAACCTTCTTCTTAACGTATTTGCACTTCAGAAATAGGTTAGATCTTTGCATGTACTTAAGCTTGTGCAAATGATGAGAAGATCAAGGTTTGGAGTGCATACATCAGTTCTCTATATGGCACTTCATATTTGCTTCAGCGGATGTCAGTTCCATATTCGGTTGCCCTTCTGAAGTCAGCCAGCTCAGCCATACTGATACATCTGCTTGTGTTTTTATCAAAATCGTTATTTTCCCTCTCATTGAAGTTTGTATGTCATTCTGGTTTCCGCCAAGACAAAATGTTGAATTTGAGGCCATGTTGCATTCCCTCCTGTTTCCCCCCTTCTTTTGTCTCCTTCATTGTTGTGACTATTTAATTTTGTCTCCGCTTCTGGAACATTGTTCTCATTACAGGCAACAGTGAGGCAGCCCGCTGTGAAGAACATGCTGAAAGCTTTGTACTTTCAGTTCACTGTGGGAGTTGTACCTATGTATGCCGTTACCTTTATTGGCTACTGGGCTTACGGATCTTCAACATCAACTTATTTGCTTAATAGCGTAAGCGGCCCGGTCTGGGTCAAGGCAGCCGCTAACATTTCTGCATTTCTGCAATCTGTCATTGCTTTGCATGTAAGCATACTTGTTTGTTGTAACTCCTGCTTTACAATAACATTCATAGCTTCAACCTGATCACTTTCCTCGGCTGCTGTAGATATTTGCAAGCCCAACTTACGAATACTTGGACACAAAGTTCGGGATCAGAGGAAGTGCCTTGAAACTGAAAAACTTGTCATTCAGAATCGGTGCAAGAGGTGGCTACCTCGCTATCAGTACCCTGGTGTCGGCTCTTTTGCCATTCCTTGGAGATTTTGAGAGCCTTACAGGGGCATTGAGCACGTTCCCTCTAACATTTATCCTTGCAAACCACATGTACCTTGTGGCAAAGCAGGACAAACTGAGTTACTTACAAAAGCTATGGCATTGGCTTAATGTTGCTTTCTTTGGTCTCATGTCGATTGCAGCAACTGTTGCAGCTTTAAGGCTCATAGCTGTGGATTCCAAAGAATATCATGTATTTGCTGATCTGTGATAATGTCTACAAAATCAAACCTATTTATCGGCAGTACACTTCTGTTGCATTCTTTTCCATTTTCTTTCTCATTTGCCTAGGTGTGTGTTCATTGAAAAAATCAATGTTTTGTGGGATTTAGAATGCATTAGAGCTAGATTTAGTAATTTTTGTATTCATATCGTATAAAATATTAAAATTTATGTATTTGTATCATGTTTTACATAAAAATTATGTCACAATTTATATAGATATAAAAATATTAAATATATTTTTTTATTTTGTTGAATTTAAATATATTTATGATTAAAATTTTAAATTTTGTTATTTTTGTGTTTTATATTCATATTATATTTGTATCATATTATCATATTATGTATTAAATTATTAGAGCAGTGAATCTCTAGCTAAATATAAAAATAAAAATAAAAATCTGTGAGATGTGAAGAAAAAAGAGATAAAAATGAACAAAAATCAATGGTTAGATGTCGAGATTTGATAGTTGCAGATTGAGAACGCAGCATTTTTTTTAGTATTGTTAAATGCATTTCAGCATTTTTTTTTTTTTTTACATCTCAGTTAAAATTTTTATAAATAAAATTACTCGATTATTATTTTATTTTTAACACATTTCATACTCAAAACACAAATTAAAAATAAATTTTTAAAAAATTATATAACTCTCAAAAATAAATTTTTAAAAAATTTTAAAGATTTTTGTTAAAAATCTTTAAAAATTTTTAAAAATTTAAAGTTTTCAAAAATAAATGTTCGAAAGTTCTTAAAAACTGTCGAAAATTCACTTTCTAAGTAATTTGGCTTTGTGAAAATTTATTTTTAAAAAATTTTATAATTTTTCGAAAATTAATTTTTTAAAATTTATGTGAAAAAGAAAAAGTAACTAAATAATTTTACTTATAAAAATTTTGAAAAAAAAAAAAGACTTGAAGAGAAAAGGGTAACGTGCGTTTTAATAGCACTTCTTGTCCATTTTCTTTATAATGAAATGACATAAATACCCTTCTTGTTTTCTTTATTTCTTTTAGTACTTTTTCCCACATTTCCCTTTCTTTTTCTAGATTTTCGTTTCTTCACCCTTTCCTGCAACTGTTCCCTTCGAGTTCTAGATTTCAATTCAATTCAATAAATGGTTGGTTAAAAGTTTAAAAGAATAGGAAAAAAATCCAACGAAATTGGAAAAAAATAGTTGAAAATCACAAACATGTCAAGATTCAGAGATCGAACTGACGATTTCAAAGATGCTGTTCGGCACACCGCAATTTCATCAGGTTACAACGAGGTAAAATGTTCATTTTTCCTTTTTCTTCCCTAATTTTTAATTAAATATTTCATTTTATCTTATAATTTCTCTTTAATTCTAAAATTTGTTAGATTCTGATTTTTCTTTTTCTTTGTTGCTTTTACAGTCTAAATTGGCAGCAATTATGGCGTCTTTTATAATCCATAAACCGCGTCAGATGACGCCGTTTACTAAATCTGCACTCAAAACGGTAATTGTAAAAATTTTCCAAAATTTTGATTTTTTTTAAAGAAGAAATTGAGTTTTTTTTATTTTTTTGTAATTAGTTAGAGAGCATAGGAGCTTTGGATCAGTTCATGTCAAAGCACCGGAAAGATTACGTGGATGTTCACCGGACAACTGAGCAAGAGAGGGACAGCATTGAACATGAAGTAATATTACATGTTTTAATTTCAGACATCATAGTGTTCTTTACTGAGAAAAACTGTCAATTATTCTTTCGTTTTTGATGTGGAAAAAGTTGTTTCTTTGAATATGAATTTAAAGGTTTAAGGATTTGTAGCTGTTTTTTTTCGTGTTTTCGTGTTCGTAATTGAATTGTACAAAATGAAAAGGTGTGAACTTTGATGATTAGTTATATATGCATTCCTTTATATGTTAAATTGTGGAATTCCTTTTTTCGTAATATTCTGATCAAATGAACTGTCTAAAGATAAGTAAATTCGCATGTGATCTATGCATTTGATGGGGAAAAAGTTGTTAAAGTTTGTAACTTTGACAGATCTAACTCAATGATAGAAATGCATTTGATGTAGCAAAAGTTGTTTTTCTTGGATATGTATTTAAAGGGTTTAAGAATTTGTTGCTGTTTTTCGTGTTTTCGTGTTCTTAATTGAATTGTCCGAAATGAAAAGATGTGAACTTTGATGATTAGTGATATATGCATTTTGGTTTTCTGCTTGCCTGGAAGTGATTAAATTTTAGAGTTTGTAGCAGTTGACTCCTGAGAGGAAGTGTTTGATTGCATTCACTTGGTGGCTGCTTTTGATTCTTAAGAAAAGGGTTTAGTTTTATGTCAAATGAAGATCAATGATTTTGGGGATTAGTTTGTTTGCATTTAATGTTACTAAGTCAAATTCGGTGCAGGTTACTGCTTTTATTAAAGTTTGCAAAGATCAAATTGATGTTCTCAATAATAGCATAAATGATGAAGAGGCAAGCTCAAAGGGCTGGCTTGGAATCAAGGATACCTCAAATGCTGATACCATAGCGCATAAACATGGAGTGGTAAGGTTAAATTCGTGTTTATGTTTATTGAAATAAGTCAGTTGAATGACTTTGTTTATTTGCTGGAATTGTGTATGCTGGTTTAATTTATTCACACTTTTAATCTTGATAGCTTTCAGCTTTCTGGAGCTAAATGGTTGAATCAAGATTCAAGAGTCCTTATCATTTTTTCCTTTTCTTTTCTTTTTTTTATGTGATAACTTCAGCTTTCCTTGCAGTAATACTTTTTGTCCCTGCATTGGAGTGGTTTCTCCCTCTCTGTTTGATGAACATTAATGGTATTTTTAGCTTGGTGAATGAACATTTGTGCTCCTTTCTTAACATTCAGGTACTAATTTTAAGTGAGAAACTTCATTCAGTCACGGCGCAGTTTGATCAGCTGAGAGCCATTCGCTTCCAAGATGCTATCAATAGAGCAATACCAAGAAGAAAACTTAAGCGGGTTGTCAATTCAAATACTCTAGATACCTCTAAACCAATCAATTTGGAGCTCGGAGAGACCAATGAGCTGCAACACGAACCTCTTAGAGTCCAACAGGAATTACTGGATGATGAAACCCGTGCTCTTCAGGTAATCAGAATATTTGTCATGATAGATTCTATATGACCATTTCTATGGTGCCCTTCTTAAATGATCTAATTCATTTTTTGAAATCCCAATAAACTGAAGATGCTTATTATATAGGTTGAGTTGACTAGTCTTCTAGATGCTGTTCAAGAAACCGAAACTAAGATGGTGGAGATGTCTGCACTGAACCACCTCATGTCCACACATGTTCTGCAACAAGCTCAACAGATAGAACATCTCTATGATCAGGTGCAAAAATATGCCCTTCCATGTTCACTTTCTTTTTTTCTCCAAATCGATGCTGTCATTTTTGATACCGGTCAATCTTATTTATGAATCTGATTGAATAAGTTGATCGTGTAAGCTGAATTTCTTATTGAAATGGAAATTCCAAAGGAACTGGATACACTTTTGTCCAAGTTGAACATATAGGTATAATTTGCACACACTTCTAGTTGCTCCAGATAAGCTATAAATAGATCATTAAAGTAATTGAATCAGGCATGTTGGCATGAGATTATCTTTCACATTTTTTTCAGCTCTAAGCATTGAATTTCCAAGTCTACGCTGTCTTGTTTTGCAGGCGGTTGAAGCCACAAAAAATGTAGAGCTGGGTAACAAAGAGCTTTCTCAAGCTATCCAAAGGAATAGCAGCAGCAGGACCTTTCTGTTGCTTTTCCTATTTGTACTTACCTTTTCAATCATGTTTCTTGACTGGTATAATTAAAAATATAGTAGTTCTTACCATTTTTATCCACTGATCTGTTTTTGTTTCCCAAAAGAAAAGGAAAGTCCCCTTCTTTTCCTTGTAGGTTAAATGATGGAAAAGAACTACAAAGTATCTAACAATTAATTAACGCAAAGTAATGCGAGATTTTCCTACTGTAATTCCTTTATGATGAAAAAGGTTGAATTTTTGTGTTGAAATTTTTGAAGGCAAAGATGGGTAGAAGGTTAAATTCTTGTTTGATCTATGCATTATGTCACTTTTATCCTTTTTTTTTTGTTAAATTTTTCAGAGACAAAACATGTTATTAACTCAAAATTGATTGATTTGAGTTAACACGGAGCTCCATCTAAATCACAAAGCACACACCCAAAATTTTCGATGTGAGAAGTTTTTCCAATGCAAGGCGATTTGGTCTTTTGGACTCATACGTTGGACATTCACTTCCATCTGACATTCTGGTCTTTTGGATTAATACAAGAGGTGAGAAAAAAATTTGACAAAACTGAAAATTTATTTGAAATTGTAGTGTTTGATTCAGTTTGAATCAATTTTTTTTTAATTTTTTTTATTTAGATTAAATTTGGATATTAAATTCTTATTTAGTTTGAATCTAATTCAAATATTAAATGTGTATATATTAAATTCATATCAAATTTAGGATATGAATGTAAAAAATAGAAAAAATCGAATTGAATCGAATTTTTTTTTTTTTGTTTTATATATTTTTTAAATTTTTATAAAATAAAAATAATTATTTTATATACAAATCTATTTAAATATATTAAAAAATCTATTAAATAATATATATATATATATAAATAAAATTTTAAAACCCAATGAATCAGACAAAATTAATAAAATTTGATTTGGATCGAATTAATTTAAAAAAAAAAATGAATTCAGATTCTAAAAATTTATAATACTATATATTATTCAAAAAAATTAAACCAAATTCATTCAAATTGTTTTCACTCCTAACCATTAGTCATTGGTTGATGTGGCAATAAATACCAATAAAATTATGATACATAATAAAAAATTATCACGTTTTATAAAATTTAAAAATAAAAAAGGAAAATCATTCAAAGAAAAGAAAAATAAAAAAAATATTTGGATTTTATTTTTGAAATAAAAAAGGAAAATTACAAACAAACATTACAAACGAGAAAGCATAATAGATTTTCTTAATTTTTTTAATCTAAGTTTCATTTTTTTGGCATGATTTTTTAATCAAAATTTAATAATTGCAAGACATTTTTCTACCTTTCGGCCTTTTAATGTTTAAAATAAAGCCTGCACAAGAACAAGGCCCAAATCCATGTCATAATTTCCTAGACCCTAAACGCTTATACATCTGATTTACCGTCTATAAACTTTAGCTACTCTACATATAAATTCCCCAAACCTTAACCCTAATTAGGTTTTTAGGTCTCTCTTGCAGTCGCCGTTACCAGCATCGAAAGGAATAAGCTTCAGCTTCCAAATCGGAAAAAAAATGGTAAAGGGACGCCAAGGAGAGCGAGTCAGGTCCTTTGATCTTTTTCTTTCAAAGCACTAACTTTTTTTCAAATTCCCATTTTAACAAATGGGATGTAGTTTTTAGATTTAACTTACTCTTTTTCTTTTCACTTGTTTTAAATTTTTTATTGCAGGCTCTATGTAAGAGGAACCATTTTGGGTTACAAGAGGTAATAAAACTTTAACCTTTTTATTACTTTATTTTATTTTTGTTTTCTTGATTTTAAGCTGTAAATTTTTTGGGGAATTAGGAACAAATTTTGAAGAAAAAATGAATTTTTAGTTTCATGTATGAGTAAAGTTAGCTAATTTAATGTGTTAAGAAAAGAAAGTTGAAGTTTCATTTTTGTTTGTTGGGAAAATGAGCAAAGGAAACAAGAATTAAGTTGCATTTATTTGCAGAAGTTGGGTTTTTTGTTGGCTATAGGACAGGCTAGTAACTTCATTTTGTGAACGGAAATTTGTGTTTGGGGAACAAAGGGTGTGATTGAATTTCTAGGTTTTGCTTTAGGTGCAGAAAATAATTACTTCTGAAAGTAAAATGAGGGTTTAGGGTTATCTTGTATATATTTTTTGAACTGAATCGAAGAACTCGAAATTGATTGTGAAGTTGGTTTTTTTTTTTTTTTTTTTTGGGATTGGTGCTTATGATTTGTTTGGTGGTGGGTGTTAGGTCAAAGTCGAACCAGTATCCAAACACTTCATTGATCCAGATTGAGGGAGTTAACACCAAGGAGGAAGTAGCTTGGTATGCTGGCAAACGTATGGCTTATATTTACAAGGCTAAGGTGAAGAAGAATGGCTCACACTATCGCTGCATTTGGGGAAAAGTTACTAGACCTCATGGTAACAGTGGTGTCGTTCGTGCTAAGTTTAAGTCTAACCTTCCCCCCAAATCTATGGTAAGTGTGGTATATTGTTGTTATTTAATGGGTGTCCTTACAATGTGCTTTTGATCTTACTTGTATCTTTTGTTTCCTTTGCAGGGAGATAGAGTCAGAGTCTTCATGTACCCCAGCAATATATGAGGTAATCTTGACTTCCCAATATATGACCTTAGTTATTTTGTGATTCTTGAGTTTGCCACCTATTTTTCGTTGATTCAAAATTTTCTGCTTGTGTATGAGGAATCTTTGTTCAGATTAATGATTTAACGTTCTGTTTGAAGATTAGCTACTTAACGGACAAGTTAATATTTGCATGTTATTTGCCTGCTTTATTCATTGTTAGGTCCTTTTTGTGTGTCAGGGTGATGGTTCTAGTTTTTGTGTCTGTTTCTAGCCCTGTGCCCCTGTCTGCAAATATTATAATGATAACATCCATAATGATTCATGTTTTCTCGTTGCGTCAACTCCAGCCCATTTGTGATTATTCATTATGAAACCCGTACATAAATGTATCTGATAATGCATCTCTACTAACATTTTTGCTGTTGTAGATGTGTCTTTGCAATCTTGATTGTTGCTATGGTTGAGACATTCTGTCACTTTTATCCTAGTACTTTATTCAGATTATTGTACTTGGCCATGAACTTTTGTTTGCCTTACTAATATAGTGATATTAAGCTGTGATTTTCAAATGAAATCTGCTTGTGAAAACATTGACAACTATTTATGAACATTTTCCTTTGCAGACTTAGGACAATTTTTCCTAGAGCTCTGCTATTTTAGCTACTAATGCTTGTTTACCCTCTCCTACTTCTTTCATTGCAGTTGTCTAGATGCTCGATGGAGTTGATTGATAAGTCGAGTGACTCCCTTTTCATTTTGTTTTTATAAACTTAGTCAAAATGTTATGTGTTTTGGAGCAGTCTTTTTGTTTCATTATGATGCTGAACAAGACTCCGCTTTGTTACTTGACTTTGAAGTTTTGAGTAATCAATCATTTATGGAACTGAATAGCCAGGTTGATCTACTTGAACATATATTGTTATATGTTAGCTTTAACAACTTGATTCATCGCATCCACAAGCTTGCATGATATACATATTGTGAACAAGTTTCCCTTGCATGATACACATGATTAGATTTACATATGAAAACGAAAACGATAAAAACACATGATTACATATGAAAACGAAAATGATAAAAACACAAAAATAATACACTTTAAAATTTTAGCAAAAATCATAAATAGATTTAACAAAATCAAAAAATTATATTTCATATTTTTGTGTTAATTTAAAGTGATATATTATTTTTGTATAAAATATAACATAAATATATGAATTATCAGTATTTTATACTATATAAATGCATGAATTATCAAAATAATTATGTTAAAACATGCAAGAGCTTGAGTTTCAAGTCATGGCAACAGGTTATGACTTCAAGTAGATTTAGAGATTACAGTATTTGAATTTTAAAATTTATTCAATGTTATTTTTTAAATTAACTAAATAAATTAAATATCAAAGTCTGGGTAAATCGATTAAACTAAATCTAGAGTTAGGTTCGAGTTTAATTTTTGAAGTTGACTTTTGAAGTTGACTTCTAACTAAATTAACATGTTGTGCAGCATTAACAATCCGACTTAGTCTCAATAAGCCGGCTTCATTAGTTGAATAAAGACATATTCAAAGGTAACAGCACCAAGTGAACTGGTGTTTGAAGGGTTTTATCTCTTTTTCTTTTTTAATCAACCAACTGAAAATGAGATAAATTATTAGGTAAATTTCTTTTTCAGAAAGCAAGAATAAATTCAAAAAAATTTGTAAACTTTATTCAAAAATAATTGAAACTTGTAATTCTTTTAGTATACATGTTTATATTAGTTCAATTAACATTATTCTTAAAAGTTACGAATTTAAAAAATTTAAACATATAATACGAGATTTGTAGTAAGTACATTAAATTTTTTTAAAAAAAGTTTATTATTGTTGACTTAAACTTATTTAAATTTCAAATAAATTCAATAAAAAAATAACAATTTATATTCACTTTCGATCGAATTTGAACTCCACGGCCCCGCATTCAACGGAACCACAATCGCAAACAAAGTTAAAATCCCAAGGTTTTGTTAGTCAAAACCTAATTTTGAGAGGAATAAGAAGAAGAATGAACCAAAAGAAACAAAGAACAATGAAAGATTTTTAATCACATGTCAACAAGCCTAGACATTTACATTGCCAACAACCAAAGCTTTTAAAATTTTTAATATATTTTTAACTTTTTAATCTTCATATGAAAGAAAAAATATAACGCGCATAAATCTTATTGAGTTGATATTCATTTGACAAAAAAAAAAAAAAAAACTTTTGATTCAATTGATGAAGAGATTAAGGCATATGTTGGATTGTAGGCGATTGATGTTTTGGTCAAAAGAAGGTTGTTCCTTTGCATGATCCAATTTTGTAGCAAAAGGGCATTCACATCACATGGGACCACATTCGCATAATCTTTGAATTTAATTAAAAATTAAAGGCTGCATTTGGACCTACTTTTGCACTAAACCTTTTTACTAGTATACTCTTCTTAAAGCCTTAGGACATTTTCCAGGGACTATGGTCTAAGCTATGGAATTGATACTTTCAAAAAAAAAAAAAGTTATGGAATTGGGAAATTATATTTACTGATGGCCAGGGAGTGGGTTGAGGCAAGTTTTTATTTGTTGATCGATCTTATATTAAAATATTATTTTTATATTTAATTAACATATATATATATAAGATTATAATTAATTTAATAATTTTAATTTAATATAATATTTATAAAATATTTTTTTAATTATACATAAATATAATATATTTATTAAATTAATATCCTAAATTAAAATATTAAATAATAATTTTATTAATATAATACATATTTAAAAATATAAAATTAAAAAATTATGTATATATAATGATATCAAAATGGATTCACCTAAAACTCAATTTCAACCTGAAATTCTATTTTCAAAAAAAAAAATCTTATATAATTGGGTTCAAATCGAAATCCAACACATTCGGATATATTTATCATTCCGATTTATATATTAAATTGAAAATACTAAAATAAAATAACCTTAAATAATTAATCAAATTTAATTAATAGCCTTTCCATAAAATAAAAATAATAATAATAATAACTCGTAAAAAAACAAAAACGCAAACGCGTATTCGTGTGCTTTAAAATCCTTTTGTCTGTCTCTGTTCTTTTCTCAGAGAAATTTGCAGAGGCAGCCACATTCATTTCCTCTGGTCTTCCTCAAAACCCGAAAGCTTTTTTTTTCCTTTTTTAATATCAATTTTCTATTTTTTCTTCTCTTTGGGTTCCTTGAATTTCTAATGAGAAACTTGAATCAGATCCATGGGAGCTAATTCCATCAAATCATCTCAAAGAACCATTTTTTTTCCGAACCCATGATTTCCCAAACTCAACTCAGATCCACCTTCATATAATCTCAATTTCATTCCTTTTTTTCAAAGCTTGCCTTTTTCGATCAAAATAAAGGTACCCAGATCTTAAAAACCCCGTAAAAACATGAAAAACAAATCGAAATTGTTCACGATCGGGCTAGTAACAGCCTGGTACTCGTCCAACATTGGTGTCTTGTTGTTAAACAAATATTTACTGAGCAATTACGGTTTCAAATACCCAATCTTCTTAACCATGTGTCACATGACAGCTTGTTCTTTGTTAAGCTACATCGCAATTGCATGGATGAAGATGGTTCCGATGCAGACAATTCGATCCAGGGTTCAGTTTTTCAAGATCTCGGCTTTGAGTTTGGTCTTTTGTGTGTCGGTGGTGTTTGGGAACATTTCTTTGAGGTTCCTGCCGGTTAGTTTTAATCAGGCTATTGGTGCTACGACGCCGTTTTTTACGGCTGTTTTCGCTTACTTGATGACTTTGAAGAGGGAGGCTTGGCTTACTTATCTTACCCTTGTTCCTGTTGTGACTGGGGTTATCATTGCCAGTGGGGTATGTATTTGACTATTTTTTGTTTATTTTGTATTGGTTAATCAAATTGTTAGCTTTTTGTTGAAAATGGTTTGGCTTTGTTTTTGTTCTTCTGATATAATTTTAAGTGATGATAGAGGGTTTAATGAAAATGGTAGCCTTTTTGTTATGTTTTGTTGAAATTTGTATTGGTTTGTTAATGGAAATGGTAGCTTTTTTTAGGGGATTTATTGAGGATTTCAGTGGAATTGGAAATTGGATTCCTTTAGTTTGTTCAAAATTGTGTTGATTTGTTAATTTTGTTGAGCTTTATATTTTTTATTGCATAATGGAATGATTAGCTTCTTTTTTTTTTTTTTTTGTATTTGTATTTGTGGAGGATTTGAATGGATCGTTGAAAGGACTTGATTTATTATATTGAATTGTGTTGGTTGTATATGATTTTAAGTGATAATTGAGAGGGAAATGATGTGGGAATCTGATGCAAATTCCCCCTTATTATTTAGGCTAATATGATGATTTTGATATGAGCTGAGAGGTTCAAAGTATTGTCTAGTTGTAAAGTGGATTCCTATGTCTAATTTGGATTTCATTAGCATCATTTAGCCTAAAGAATCCATTAATAGTTGAAGGATTGCAGTATGTTGACATTAGAATTATGAATCGAAATATTTGCTTTAAGCTCTATTCAGTGCCTTAAACAAGGAATGGAAGGAAAAGAACTGCAAGATTTAAAACTAGATATCTGGTTATTTGGAATCAATGGGAATGCCCCATTTTTTTAGCATGATTTGGAGGTTTTTTCAATAATAATGATCATAATTTGTGTATTATCTTTTCCTTTTTCTTGTTTTCAAATGGTGCAATGCATGATTAAATTATTAACTCCTATACAAAAACCTTGTTATTGTTTATGATTGATCAATGCTTCTCTTATCTATTTTCTCTTTCCTCTTCGATTCTCTCCTCTTCCCCTGTATTTCTCATATCGTGTGTTCTGGTTGTGGAATTTAGAAGTGTGTGGTATGGAATTTTGCCACACTATTTGATTTGAAAACCTTCAAATTTCATCGTTTCATCTTTATAAATCCAAAATTTGTGTTCCACGTTATTCACATTATTTTATTTCATTCAATTGATCTTCTTTCCGATTGTTATTTTTCATGTTTCTTACATGGCCACAGGGTGAACCAAGTTTCCATCTCTTTGGTTTTATCATATGCGTTGCAGCTACAGCTGCAAGAGCTCTCAAGTCAGTTTTACAAGGAATTTTGCTTTCTTCTGAAGGGTGAGGAACTATTATTCCTTTGCTTCTACTATATGTTTGATGGCATAATTTTTATATATTTATGGAGTTCAGAGACTAGAAACGGGTACTGAAATTTTGTTGTAATTTTATTTTAGAGAGAAGCTGAATTCCATGAACCTCCTTCTCTACATGGCTCCGATTGCTGTTGTATTTCTACTTCCTGCAACACTCATTATGGAAGAAAATGTGGTTGGTATTACCCTTGCCCTTGCCAGAGATGACATCAAGATCATTTGGTATCTAGTATTCAATTCAGCACTGGCATATTTTGTGAATTTGACCAACTTTTTGGTCACGAAACACACCAGCGCCCTGACTTTGCAGGTATGGCACGTGCAATTCTTGTTCCAGGCTTTTCTCAAACTTCTTTTCATACCAAATTTTTGGCTTTCACGAATTTTCTACATTTATGTTGTATCTTTTTTTTAAAAGAAAAAAAAGTGAAGAGGAAGGATTGCTTACTTTGTTTATGCGGTGAAGTCACATAAGTACAGTTACTAAAAAGACCCAACAATAAAGTGATTCCGAGTTTCGCTGCATCAAACTCATATGATTATGAATTCTACCCATTTTAGTTGTTTATAGAAAGTATAATGTCACGGATGATCTCTAAATAATAGTAAAATGTTTAATATGATATCTACACATATGGACTATAAATCTGTTAATTAATGTGATACATATAAGGTTGTTTGTCACTCATGCATCATTATTTGGAGTTAACAAAGTTAGGGGTATCACATTAGTTGATAGATTCATAGTACTTTTACCACATAAGAGATTTTTAAAGTTCAAATGTCATATTGAAACATTTCATTATAATTCAGGACTATTCATGACACTAATCCTTTATAGAAACCTGTGTGGTTACTATGAGTGTAAGTTCTTTATAAACTTTCCATTGGAATGACCATTGTACCGTCATTCCTTATGTACACGGTACCCCCATATGTTTGTATCATTATGCAGATATTCAAACAGACATCAATTTAAGCATTTTGAGATACTGAGATGTTTTTTCTTGCAGGTTCTAGGAAACGCGAAAGGAGCTGTAGCTGTGGTGGTTTCAATTTTAATTTTTAGAAATCCAGTCTCTGTCACCGGAATGCTTGGTTATACACTCACAGTCTTTGGGGTTATACTCTACAGTGAAGCCAAGAAACGAAGCAAATGATGAGGCATCATTCCCAGGAACAGATTATGTGTGTGATCATTGTATATTTTGTTTCCTTTATTGCAGGACAACGACAATGTTCAAAGAGACGAGCTTCAGACATGTGGTAGCATATGATGCCATGGATTTTGCACCCTAGATTCATTTTTTTTTTCCTGGAAGCCCGGGAAACTAGTTTTCTTTTGTATAAGCAACAGCTGCAGCATTACAGAACTCCAATAAGTACCTTATTGGTATCATTCCCAGCTTGAGGTTGTAGAGGAAATATTATGTAATGTTTTTTATTCTTTAAGGAAAAGGTTGTAGAATTGGTCTTTTACACAGTCAATCTGTTATTAACATTTCTGATATTGATTAATTAAAGGAAAAGAAGACTCACAAGTTTACCATTTTATCGTTTAATGTGTTAATATTGTTTCTGTATACTGGTGATTATGGATTTATTATGGTATGATCAACAACTTTGATTTTTCCTTTTATGTTTTTCATTTTTTTAATTTCAGACAATGTTCATGATCACCATCCCATCATGATGGATTTATGCAACATCGAGAGAATGATAAGAATCCATGATTTCCATATCCTTTCAAACATGTCATCACTGATCATTGACATGTTAACATCTTCATGTCCTAAATCCAGAACTACACAAACATTGTTTCCAAACTAAAATTATGAGAGTGAATGTACATGGGAAAACTTATCTCATTCAATTGTCAATGGCTCTAACTCCGCCGTAGCGCCACCTGCAGCAGAATCACTCTCTGCTTTGAAAGTTGGTTCACTTGATAGACTGCGAGCTAGGGCGGTCAAGTTTGGATCATCCCTGTACTTGTTCCAGGCTGTTTCAAACTGTTGACCTTTGCATCTGGGATTACAGGGAAAAAAAAAGATTAGGGAAAGGGATAAAAGATTGTTTAGAAACTGCTTGACAGATTTGTAATGAGCCTTACTGCTGAAGCATGATTAGTATATTAAGAATATCGGTTCGAATATCTTCTCGTGCTCTTCTCAATGCTGCTTCTTTGAATAATACAACAAGTTCATCTACCAATCTGAACATAATGGGATGCAAACAAGATTGAAGACCATGGAGAAAGGAATCTGGGAACTAAAGTCGATTCAATCACAAAGTAAATACTTTAAGTTAATACGCACTATGGCAAATTTATGGAATCTTCAAAAGTGTGCAACATACAGTAAGTGGAAGGAAGAGGACAATAACACGTTTTGAAGTCGAATGAACAAGAAATAAATGTCCCTCCATAAGTTTAGAGCAACTAACGTTGGCTCTAGAAGGAACTTCAAAGAAGAAAATTTTCAAATGATCACATAAGGCTTAAAGGACATTTTATCTTTCACAAATTGAGCCTCAAACAATTGAAGGGCAAACCCCAGTGCACAAACCTACCCGCTTTGCGAGGGTTGAGGGGAGGGTCCATAGTACGCAATCTTCTCTATGTATTTTTTGTAGAGAGGCTATTTTCAAGACTTGAACCTATGACCTTCTGGTCACAAAGGAGCAACCCTACCATTGCTCCAAGGCTTGCAGCCTCAAATGATTGAACTTCCTAAAATGAGACAGCATTAAGAAAATATCTCCGTCCTTTTCATTTTTTTATCACTTCAACAATCATTGTGCACTGTGTTATTACAAGCTCAGTGTTTAAATGCCATTTAAAATGATGGAATTAATAGATATTCTCTTCCATTGAACTATAAAATCACCTTACTATAAATCAAATGTAATGCAGAAGCACAGTTACTTAGTTTACCTTCCGACATATGGTGTGTTCCGTACCCATGTTAACCTAACAACTGTTTGAACCCGTTTGAGAAGCTGCAGAACATTGAAATGTTTAAATTCTGCCTAAAACGCCAACGCCTAGTAATTGTTTTTTAATTTGAATCAGTAGTTAAACTGAAACTTGCTGAGCAAGAAGACACAATAATCTTACCAGCAGAATTGTTTCATCATCATCAACATGCATCCATTGGAAGAAAAGTGGGAAAATACGCCTAAAATGAGCTAATAACAAAAGGCCAATAGCATTGAAGACTGGCTCAATAAATTTAAGCCATGCAATACGTCTCTCCTTATTCCTTGGTTGTCGCTCCAAATGGCTCAACATCTCATTTAGAATCTTCTCAAACCTAATAAAAAGCAAATGATAATGAAAGAACTGCCTATGACTGCAACAAAAGTACGAAGTAGGAACAAATTAAAGCCTCTTACGTGTATCAAGAAACAACTATCGAAACCAACAGAATGTAACAAGATATAAATTACTAAGCAAGAATGCAACACAATACGCTACCAATCCGGATATCAGCATGGCAAAAAGGTCAGAATTGATCAAAACACCACCGAACCTTCACCAATGAAATTCATAACTAAGACCAAGCATATAACCTCATGCTCTGATGCTAAAGTCCCTTTCGCAATCCAATTGATCTATTGATAGAACATAAAATTTTCCCCCTAATGGACCTACTACGACATTATTATGCACTATTGTTTAGTAATGTAAACATAATCAACAAACACGATTAAGATGCTGAAGATACGAAGAAACAAAGTATACCATGAGCTATGGGGATTATCTCTTTGAATGCAAGTAACAAATAGCACCGACATCTCCACGACATACTGCCATATCTCACCAGTAGAAGCAATGTTCTGGCAGCAAGCATCAAGAATCACATTTCCATACCAACTAACAAAACACCATTCAACCTTCCGCAATGAAATTCATAACTAAGACCAAGCATAAAGTCTCATGCCCTGAACCTAAAGTCACTTTTGCAATCCAATTAATCTATCGATAGAACATCATAAGTTTTTCTCCCTAATGAGCCTACCAAGACATAACTATGCACTGTTGCTTAGCAATCTAAACATAATCAACAAACACAATTAAGATGCCGAAGATATGAAGAAAACAAGCATACCACGAGCTACGGGGATTGTCTCTTTGAATGCAAGTAACGAGTAGCACCGACATCTCCATGACATACTGCCATATCTCATCATCAGAAGCAATGTTCTGGCAGCAAGCATCAAGAGTCACATCTCCATACAAATCAAGCTCCACTGCTTTCACATTTGTTGCTATGTGTATAAAACTAATCATCCCCTGCCCCTAAAAATAATCAATGCAAAAATTTAAGAAAATCACCCCAATTGTTAAACTAAAGAATCACTAATTACACAATCTAGACTTGGCAATCTAAAACACGACACGTTGACACAACACAAACACGATACAAAATAGAACATGAAGGTGACGTGGCTTAAAATTTTAATAATAACTATATACGAGTTTAACAAACCCAAAGAAAATGTATTTTATGTTTTTATGTCAGACATGAATTATAACATATAATTTTCGTATAAAATATTATACAAATACATGAATTTTAATATTTTGTACTATGAATACACGAATCCCTAGGTCTAACAAAATCTTCAAATTACAGAGTTTCTTACTTTCACCTCCGGTGACCAGTGATCAAGACATGTTAATGCACAAGGAATAACCAAATTTACCATTTTACCCAAATCTGGACACTCAACCTGCAAAAAAAAAAAAAAGATTTTAAACGTTAAAATAAATTTAAAAAAAATAAAGTATTTCTGAGAAAATTAATTTTAATTTTTAAAAAATACCTGAGAAACGAACCATCTAAATTGATAAGCAGCCAAAATGGCGAACCCTACGGGAACCCTAGCCGACGCGGCAAAAGCTTCATTGTTTTCATCACTCTTGTCAATGGAGCTCTCCCTAATCTTCTCCTTCAAAAGCGGCACGATTTCCGGCATCAATCCCGCCACCAAATTTCTCTTCTCGTCGCCTGGAAGGGCGTCGTTGTAAGCTTTCGAGAGGTCGGAAAAGGCTGTTTCGGCGGCGGTGGAGAGGTGGCCGGGGATCCACGTGAGAAGCTCGTGAGTTGAGGAGCTAGAAGAGGAGAGTAATGCGCAAGCTAAGGAGAAGTCTTTGACTGATGGTTTTGTTGAGAGGAGAGATTCGAGCGTTGATTTTGTGGAGATCTTTGTGGTTTCTTGAGGAGTATATGGCGTTTTCGAGAGCGAGTCGAGGATTGGCTTCGTTAATCTGACAAAAAAGGAAAATTAAAAAGAATAAACAGAAAAAACTTTAGATTAAATGAGAGAGAGAGAGAGAGAGAGAGAGCTTACTGAGAGAGATGGCTATGGATGTCGGAGAGTGAGTTCGACATTTGTGACTCAGTTGAACCCGAGTTCGCTCCCGAATCGAGTTTGTCTTAGTGGCACGACGAAACACGTAAAACGGAGTGCGTTTTAATGAAGAAAAATACGACACCGTATTACTCCTACAGGTAACTTTCCCTCATTCCCATGGGTGGATTTGGACTTCATGGCCCAATTGTATCCAATTTTAGCCCTTGTAATTCTTACTTGGACCTGAATCAATATTTCATAGTCCATCCCTTTTTTTTTTTTAATTATTGTTCCTACATTGAAATTGAAAACCTTTAATGTGAAATTTTAATATTTTATTTACGTAAAATCTTAGATTCAAACTTGAAGGGTAATAGATTGACAGAGAAAAATACAATTCCTCAGTCCTTTGTAAATCTATAATAAGGGTCATTTTGAATACATTTTTAAAAATATCAGTAGACAAAATATAAAACAGATAAACTATTTTTATTTGATACTCATATTTGTATTTAATAAATATTTTAAATCTATCTCCATTCTTATCTCCAATTTTTCATCCCAATTCCTGTTATTATTTAATAAATATGAGTAATTTCTATACAATGACCTTTTTAGAAAAAAATAACAAAATTTTTTTTTAAATTTTTAATTTTATATATTTAAATAATTTTTTAAAAAATATTTAATATATATTTTTAAATAAAAATATATTAACTTTAATTAATCTAAAATAATAATCTATATTATTTAATAAAAAACTTATTTATTAAATAATATAAAATACATGTAAAGTATAGCTATAGGTAAAAGAATAAATGATATATTAATACTTGTAAGTTGTTTAAATTCGATTTGAATAAAATTCGAATTCAGTTCGATTATTATCGAATCAAATTAGAGCTCGAGTAGGTAGATTTATCAATTGAACCAAATTCAAAATTTTTATATTTGACTTGAATAGCTCACGAATTTAATCGAATTTTTACATTTTAATATATTTTAATTAATAAAATATCTCAAACTCAAGCTTAAACTCGAGCACAAATAATTTAGTTTTTGTTAAATATAAGAATCAAGTTTATTTTACATGTTAGTTAAATATAATTGAGTAAGCTCGAATAACTTAATTTCTATATCGAATCGAATTCGAACTAAAAAAATAAACCCAATCAAATTCAAACACTTGAATTTAAGCTTAATACTGTGTTAGTTTAAATTCGAGTGATTACACCTCTAAATACAGTTATAGGATAGATGTTACATCACCATTTCCCCTCCCATCCTCAACAAAAAAATTTAAAATAATTCCCATCTAAATTCTCATGCACAATGTAATAGCCATTTCTATCCCATTCGGCTAAAAAGTCATATTCCCATTGGATAAAATTGACGTCCTTCCACATTTTTACATGACAATTTCTTTTGCAAATGAGGGAAACTTCATAAATTTACCTGCAAAACAAAAACAGGGCAAAACATCCACTTCTTCTACACATAGTTTCAGCAAAGGTCGTTTTACAACTCGGGGAATGCACATTTCAATTAAACATTTACCATAACATGAACGCAGATGACCAAGGGAAAGTGAAACAGAGAGGAGGAACCCCGAGTTTTTTCTCGGTTTCCCGTGAACATAAATCAGAGGGATCAATAAGAAAACGCACCAGCAAGCATGAGAAAAGAAGGAAAAACATGAAAATGATACAAACAATACAGTTCAAGCTTCTGGTATGGAGGCAGCCACGCGCTTAATTGATGCAGACTTGATAAGATGATTGTAGCTTCCTTTCTCCTGGAAAAGCTGGGAGAAGTGATGTTTGCAATACAAAATGCCCTCAAGGGCTGCATAGTTTGATGGACTTATAGGGCAGCCACCATGAGAGCACTTGAAACATGACTTGTGGTAAGACTGTCCTTCCACTGTTACCTGTCCAAATTTGGCACAAAGATGCCACATTTTAGGTCAACACGTTGAAACCTGACTCAGTTTCGAAGCAAAATAAATATATCTTGTGCATTTTTAAGCATTTCAATCATGTTATAAGCAGATATAGTTGCAAAAGCATGTATCAGTGGTAAGAAATCTCAACAGTTTGACCTCTTGAAACCATACTTCAATTCGTACAATGCTCGAGAGTCTTGATAGACATCGACTCCAACAAGAGAAGTCCTTTGTCTAGCTCAAATGCAAACCAATCAAAATGTTCTCAAGCTCCACATGGGTTGGAATGGTTAAAGGAGCAAAGAATCACTTCTAACTTGACAACATCGCTCACATCTTATGAGAGCAATGGATTATTTCAAATGGAACTTGCACAACTCTAAATCTACTTATACGTCTCATTTGCGAATGGTGACCCTTTTATGTGACAATATGAACCTAAATGCACTATGGTAAAGCATAATGTAGAAGGGAAACCTAGCCGAGCCAATTCTGTATATGTAAAGAAAATATTACAGGCTTTACCCCATGCCTGATTTCATCAGTTCAAGAACTTGAATCTTGCTCCCTTCAAAGAAGGAACAGACAAACATGGATGCTCCACAATCACCTAAACATACATAAGTGAAACAGAACGTTTTTCATTGGGAGTAAACCTCATAAAGATTCAGATGAAAATGCCAGGTGTAAGGACTGAAAGTTCAAAGGAATGAGGGTGAAAAGAACGGGGACGTGCAGCAGAAATCGAAGTCTTGCAATTGCAGACAAAAAGTGCATTTTTAACACAATGACTTATTGGGATCTTTGAATTCTACCTTCTCGAGCGGATAAGCAGTTTTGCCACAAGTAGCACATTTTTCTAGTGTCCCTGAAAACATGCCAGCAGCTTTGCTAGGTGATCGTGTCTGAAATCAATACAAGCTATTGGAAATTAGCAAGAACATCCAGTAAACTATAACATACCTTGTAATGAAATTTTCCGCTTAATCAAAAACATGCAGTGTTGCAGGGGAGATTTTCCAGTTCAGGAGTCAATTTCTCAGCTGACTTTGCAGCTGCTGACAATAAAATTAATGGCAAATTAAACCGACAAAACAAAACTATCAACAAATCATATAAAGGATTTCATCCAGCAAGAGATAAAGGCTTACGTGACTGAAAGTTCTTGTTGAAGTTACCCGTCTCCTTGAAGAGTTGCTCAAAATGAGGCTTGCAATAAAGGATACCTTCCATCGAGGAGTAATTACCCAACTGGAAATATGTAACTTACCGCTAAATTAGGACCAGAAGCACCATTACACAAACCAAAGAAGTTGGCCAACATAATCTATCATGTGACCAACTCATGCTCACAGAGCCTAGAACAATACTCCCTTAGTACGTGGTTTGATTATGCATTCTTAAGAGCTACTAAATTAACCGGCGAGCAAAATAAAATGCTTAGTAACATTTGCAAAAAATGCAATAAATGGCAATAGATTTTCATCAATGTACAAAACGAACATGTTAACTATACTTTCATCAATATGAATGAATGAGCAGAAAATGATCGAAAGCAATCAAAAACATTACCTTCAGTGTCCCTTTGCAATGACTGCACTTGAAGCAAGACTTATGGTAAGGAACCCCTCTGCTGACAAAAGTTCCACTGGATAAACAGTCTTGTCGCAAGCCTTGCATTTCTGCTGAGTACCAATAAAAGACATGGCTCGTATCTGCTTTAGACCTAACCCTACTGTTCTTTATCTAATTCCACAGATCGGCCTTAATTCAATTTCCTCTTCTATATTTGCCAATATTAACTGCTCAAAGATTTTAAAACAGACAATCAAAGACACAATTCAGCATCAGATTATGTTCAATTCAACAAAATTAGCTATAAAATTTAGAACTTCGAATCAGCTTATTCATCATTAAAGAGACGTAAATTCCAATCCGTAGAATCATAACAAAACAAATATCCCTGCAAAACCCAGTTAGCTGATGGAATTCCAAAAACTTGTAACCAAAAAGATAGTAACGAAAGCAAACAAAAATGGGTTAAGCATTGAAACTTGAAGAGCAAATTAAAAAAAAAAAAGTGTACCTTGATAGAAGAAGAAATCCTGGATCTTCTTGAGCGAACAGGTGCTGTTCAAGTGGACGATGATGATGATTGGTGAAAGAGAGATAATGAGAAACTATTGGGATTTAAAGAAAGAAAAAAAATATCTGTTATGTTTTGCTTGTCATGGAACAGGTTGGGCTTTACCTTGTCTTGTTTCAACCAACTCGGCTATGGTGGCCTTTGCTGTTTGAGATTAAATTGACAACGTTGACCCTTCTTGGTTTTCAGACACAATCACATTTTTTTAGCTTTACGTTACTTTTAACTGAATGCTGTCTTATCAGGGATTTTTTTTCTTGCTTTTTTTCTCACGATGATCCATATTTTATTCGACCCTGTCCCAACTAGGCGGGGCCCAATAGTTTCCAGTTTAGATCCGAATCCAAGTACAGCAATCACTTCATGTTAACTCTAACGTACGGCTCTGATGAAAACTAAATTTGAACCCTTGGCTTACAATCCCCACCGCTGTGGGTGATAACAATTTCGATTAATTTTTTAAAAATAATGAATAATATTAAGAAATTTTAAAATTTAATTTAAATTTGAATAAATTTATTTTTTAAATTAATTTAATCTGAGATTTATTGATTTTTAAATTTAATTTTTTTAAATATTATTTTAATAAAAATTTTAATATATTTAAATAAATTTATATACAAAATAATAATTTTTATTTTATAAAAATTTTAAATATATACAAAACTTAATAAAAATATATAATTCTATTATTCTATTTTAAAAAATTTTTATATATCAATTTAAAATTTTATTCAAACTTAATATATATTTAACAAATCGACTAAAAAAACAGATTCAAATCAATTCAAATAATTTAATTTTAAATTAATTTTTTAATTTTCTCAAATTTTCTCGTCCTGCCGCCCACTGTAACTAAACTTTCCCGCCCAAAATATCTCCCTAACTGTCTCTTCTTAACAAGCTGCTTTTTCACTTCATTTTCATCACCAAGGAAATGCCTTTCTTTCTCTTCTTTTCCCTCTTCCTTTCCTTCGTCCACTTCATTTCCTCCCTCCCTTCCATCGGAGTCACCGACAACTGCCCTTCCGCCACTACCACAACCACCGTCCCCCCACCACCCGTCAGGATTTCAACCACCATCGCCTCCCTCAAGATCAGACGCTGACCCATTTCTCATAAAAGCCTTTGCATTCACCAACACCTCCCTTTTCCTCTCCATCCCAAACCCTCTCCTCCCAGCTCTCGCCTCCAACCGTTCCCCTACTCTCCATTGGCTCCACAGCCATGTCCTCCCCTGTTACCCTCGTTCCAATTTAGCCCTCGTCTCTGTAGGCAACCCCGTACTTGACTCCGCCGCCCAAGAAGACTGATCCCCTTTCCTGCTTGCGGCAATGAGAAACCTCCAACTGGCACTGCAAGAACTGGGCATCGATAAAATCCCAATCTCAACTACTTTCTCTTTCTTCTCCGCAATCACCACCGCTTTCCCGCCTTCCTCGGCCGAGTTCCAACAACCCGCCGGCGACCTCATCATAAAACCCTTAATCCAATTCTTGGAACAAACAAATTCAACTTTCTTGATCAACCTCTATCCCTACAATGTTTTCCGCCTCAACAGCGAAATCCCAGTTGGGTTCGCTTTATTCCAAGACTACCCTTTTAACTTCCGAGACGATTTGGTCACTGGGGTTAGGTATTTCAACCTGTTCGACATGATGGTGGATGCTGTGATAACAGCCATGGCGGTAATGGGGCACAGGAATATTCCAGTGGTCGTGGCAGAAACAGGGTGACCGAGCGGTGGAGGTGAAGTTGGGGAAGTTGAGGCAAATGGGGTTTATGCGAAGATGTATTTGAAAGGATTGATGAGGCATTTGAAGTCAGGGGTTGGGACGCCATTGAAGATAGAAGGGGCGGCACAGGTTTATGTTTATGAGTTGATGGGTCATGATGGAGGGGATAAGGAAAGATCGAGGAAATGGGGCATTTTATCTGAGAACATGATCAGGAAATATAATGTGGAGTTTTCCGGTGGGTCTAAGAATTCTGGGTGGATGGCGATTTTCTTGGTGCTCATGTGGTATATCACTTTAGTGAATCTGTGTCTGTGGCATTTTGCTGAATTTTGACTGTTTCTTGGAGATTAGGGGGTGGCTGTTGAAGATTCTTGAAGATTGTAGCTGGTTTTGTCTGTTTGTTTTGTTGAAGAGATGATAGTGGCATTTAGCTTAGAGGTTGATGTTTCTATGGTTTTTCTGGGGCTCCTTTTGATGAAGACAAGGCACTGATGTACATTTCTGCAGAGTTTTAGGGGCTAAATCTTTTAGCAATTTAGTGGATATGACTAGTTAGGGATGTCTATCATGAACCTGATGATGTACTTGGATGTAAAGTTCTGATTAATGAGACTCTCTAATGAGATTCTGGTTTTGATCTTCATATTACTGGTAAATTTATATTGTTTCAGCTTTGCCTGTGTTGTACAATGGGTCATTTCTTATTTGTCATTCTCACTGGCCATGACGATGCTAATTGTTGAAACGAAGTTGCTAAAAAATGGTGGCTGGACAGAAATACTTCCATAGGCTAAGTTTTAGCCCTTTTGTGGACGCTAAGAAATGTAATTTGACTCGTCAGGCAAGGTTTATGTAACTAATTGAAAGTTTCAATGGGATCCATAGCTTAGATAAAGTTGATGGCCCAGATTTTGGCTGGGAATTGGGGAATGTTTGTTGCATATGTTTAGTTTTTGGGGGTTAATGAACAACTGATCCATGTTTTAAAGCTGTGCCAAATGGATTCAGCATTTGGGTCTCAAGACCCAAAAAAAAAAAAAAACCTCCTGATGGCCTGCTATAGGTTCCCATACTGTTCATATTTCAGGCTTTGCCAATGTGGAGGTAAAGAGCAATATTATCAATTCATCTTCTTCGAGTTCTTAGCCATCTGAAGAATCTTAAATGCAGCTCTCTTGGTCTGCAGATATTATACAAGTTGCTGTACTTGAGAAATGAAAATCAGAAGCATGGAAACTCAGAGAGTCATGCGCCCAATGCCATTTTATATAGTTATCTAAATAAAATGATTTGAGCTTATTGATCAAAGTGGTTCAAGAATTTGCGGAGGTGGAAAATTGCTTATGCAAGAGTGTCACTGGCTAAGGATTACATGCTGAAAAATCCAATTACCAGGGATGCAGGCAATGGAATGGATCATAAAATTGGAATTGAAACCTTTCCTAGTGGTCAGGGAAAAGTTTAGAACATAAGTTTATCATGTCCAAAGCAATTTTTTAAGAAATACAACTGGAGCAAAAGGATACATCTGAATTTAACTCAATCAATTCATACAATCATTCTTTAAAGGTAACATTTTATAAACTCGAGGTTCAAATCACATCATCTACAATCTTTTATCCTATCATCAGACTACACAAATGTTTGGGAGCCAATAGAGATTCAAAGTGGGCTAATCAGCTAAATGTTTAAAAAAAAAAAGATGTAATTTTTTCATATGAAAATTACACTCAATCAAGCACTCAAATAAGCTGAAATGGTCTTAGATACGTGAGCTGATAAAGAAATACAAGAAAAAAAGAAAAAAAAAGGTTGGGGGGGGGGGTGTTTGAAGAATATTGCCGGATTTCGAATTATATTGGAAAGAAAATTCAGCCAAGCCCCAGGTTTCCAGATGACCAAAAAATTTGAGAAACACTATGCAAAGAACAACCAAGTGGACACAAGATCTAGTGTGAAAGTCTCCAGCTTTCAATTTGATTTTCAAAATTGTAATATAGAGGGTTTGGAAGCTTAAAAACACGTCTTCCCAAAGACGAGCCTGTTAAAGCATCCATTTGGCTGCTAATCACACCGATTATTTCAATATTTTCCTTCTTCATTGCTGCTCTTCGTCTAGAAAAGTATTCGCGTGTATCCATTTCCATTTCGCTGTCCAACCTGCAAGAGTTTCCTGGAAATTTTAACCGTCTGCATTGGACATAGGCACTGAAGAAATACAAATCAAAGCTGATATAGTGATACTGTTATGCTTTCAAATGAAGTAAGCATAATCCCATCAAGAAAAATAAGGATTTACCCCCATAAAAACAACCATCAGTATCTATAGATCAAGCAGAACATTGATTTTCTCAAAGAAATTGAAAAGAAAAGAGTACCAACAATACCTCATAATCAGAGAAGACCAACCATTATATCCTAAAGAATTAAGGTTTTCAATAGTGACATTTTGCTGTTTCTCAGGCTTCCTTGATAGCAGAATCAAAGGCCATCCTCTGGACTGAAGTTTTTTGTACAATTCCAGAATAAGCAGGTGCTTCAGACAGGTTGCACGTTCAATGCAATCAATAGGTTTGCCACAGACATATTGGTTGAACCTGAGCCAAAACAGGATTTTATCCTGTTAAGTAGTGTATAACCTATAAATAGTTTTATTAACAGCAAAATTGAAAGGCAAAATCAATAGTGAAAAACATCAAGGTCCTTTTTCAAAGGTTCAAGCTGCCACTAGCTGCTTCAATATTTGTTTGTCTTTTAGCCCCCTATAGAGATGGTTTATGAAACAAAGATCCTTTTCCAGACTTCAAATTCTAAAAATTAACATATGAAAACTGAAGAGCTTTCAAGAAAAGGAAACCGCAAATTAACAAGCATTCGAGGGGCCAAAAATCAAAGAAGAAAGAACCTGGAGCTTAGTTCAGTTGGTTCATACAGTTATGGCATCCAGCAGGTCTGGGTTCAAATTTCAGCATCTACAACCCATTTTCTTATTCTCAAGCAGTGACCTCTTTTGTACCAAAAAAATCAAAGAAAAAAAGTGGGGAAAATCTTGTGGTAACGAACTGCAGGTTAATGGATTTCAGCCAATACATAACAAAAAAAAAAAACATGGATGAAAGAGGAGATTTTAAGCAAATGCAAAAAATGTGTAAAACACTGAGGGGATTACTGTGGCATTAATTGATTGGAGTAGCAAGGATCTGAAGCAAGGATGTCATCTACGTCCATTAACACCACATCCAGATGATCATGTGATGGTGAAACAGTATCAAAAAAACTTTCAATCATCCACATTGTGATATTTAAATCTTGTGCATATTCTCCTCCTTTGATGTATTGAATGACAAGACTCCTGCAGACTGGAGGAACCTCAGTTGCTTCCAAGCCGTTAAGCTGCCCATGCAGCTCAAAAATCTTGCAATAATGGTAACTATCACTTGCTTTGTCGATCTCCACAACTCCCTTGCTCCGATTTTCACAGGATTGCCACATTACTGCTAATGTGACTAGCAAAGTTACCAATAGAACCCCAACAGTTACAAGAGCAGCAATGAAGATTGTTACGGCAAAAGATGTCATGTAGAATCCAGACTCAACCACATAGCGGCTTCCCATCTCTGTTCCTAAGCAGAACAACCAAGATTAATATGTATATGTCAGACACGAAAAGGTTTTGCAGTAGCAATCACAGAAAGAAACATCCACTGGCACTTATTAAAATAGTGTTTCATAATAGATATTTTCCACAAACTGTTTCGATCTTCGGAGAAATTAGCAACTTGACAGCAGGATTTTAGATGACAAATTCAACCATGATATAATCCGATTCAGTCCAGGCATGCCAAATGGTTATAATCCATTCCAGATTTAAAGTAACATCATCATCATCAATCATATTTGCCTCTCAGGAAAGCGTATTCTAATATGTGAATCAAAACAACTCTTGAAATCTAAAAGGAAAGCAAAATCAAATCAAGAACTGCATACATACCAGTATCTCCCCTACTTAGGAGACTCTGAGCAGAGAATTCCCGCTCCATTTGGTGGCCATTATAAGCTGACATTGTGATTCAATCTAGCCAGATAGCAGGCTGCAAGTATCTTCAGATCCAGATCCCTTCCAAATCATAGAAGGGTCAACTGCAACAACAAATAACAACCAACTGATATATAAATCCTCCCCATTAGCTATATGGTGGCAATGACAAAATCCCAAATAAAGCGAAAACTTGCAAGCAGCTTCATCTATCTTGGAATGAACTACCAGTAGCCCATCTCAACTTGCCCACATTTTTAGCCACATAAGGAGAGAAAAGAAAAAGCTAAAAAAAAAAAAAAAGGTATTATTTAAAAGCTCCTCATCTTTCATAAATTAGAATTCAGAGAAGTTTTAGAAAACTATATATACTGTAAACCAAGATCCATCTCTTTTTAAGGCAGAGCCAAAAGACTGAGGAATCAAACTAATACTCCATTTTTGTTAAGAATATCTTAAAAGGATGAAAAGGATCCACAGATCTTTAACTTACTATATATAATCAAAAACAGTCCAAATTTTGCTGACCAACTCAATGCTTAACATAGCAGCTTGGTAAAAAGAAAAAAAAAAACAATTAAAAAAATGAAGCAACTTCATAACTTAAGCACCACAAGCCACGAAACAAAAACAGAATTCAATCAAATCACTTCTGATGTAATTATTTAATGCAATAACTGATGTTTTTCATTATCTCAAACAACCTTAAAACAAGACAAACAGAGAGAGAGAGAGAGAGAACCTGAAAGAGGCATTTGAAGAAGTGAGAAAACGGAGGGAAGAGAGCAGAAGATAAGAAAATAAAACATTAACTAAACTAAACCTTTAGAACTGATCAAAACTGTCTTTTTCGTGTGGAAACTTCCTTCTTTGAACTGTGTTGATGATTGCCAACGCCTTCTTGCCGAGGACAATGATGACTTTACCATGTGACAGTTGTCCAGTCCTTTACTTTAGAATCGGTAGTTTTTTTTTTTTATTATTATTTCATGTATATACTAAGATAATTCTTTGGGTCCACCATCTCAATCATCAAGTGTTCAATCATTGCAGACTGCACCAATAATGTTGAAACAGAAGACATTTAATGCCGTCGTCCTTTTTTTGGATTTGGTAGATTCGGTAGTCAAATGATTCTGTCCGGTTTGCCTGGCTGATGTGTAAATGAAATTCTAGGGGTACACCTGGTGATGAATCTATCCGATAAACGTTTCAAACTCAACTTTATCTGATCCCTCCGTTTTTGTATCATGGTAAAGATTGAATGATAAACTCGATAATACAAAAATGGTAGTTAGCACTTAACAAGTATAAAAAAAAGGGTGCACGTGATTCGGTTTTAACTGAATTAATTGATTGAATTAATTTAATTTGATTAATTAATTAGTTATTAAATTAATTTTGATTAATTATTAAAAATAATTTTAAAAAATTTTTATTTTTAATTAATTTGGTTTAAAAATCAAATTAACTTAATTAATAAAAATTTTAATTGAAATATTATAAAATTTGTATATAAAATTAAAAATATATAAAATTATCCATTTCATTTTAAATTATTAGAGTTTTTAACTTAATGTTTGATGTTTCTATAGTTTTATTGGATAATTTTATTTAATTTATTTTATATATGAAAAAATAAGAATTTAAAATATAATTTAACTTAATGTATTTTGTTATTCAATTAATCAAAAAAATTAATCAAATTGATCAAATTAATTTTGATATGTTAATTTTTTAAATTAAAAAATTTAATTTAATTAATGAAAATAAAATAACATAATTCAATTTTAAATAATTCGATTTGAGATTAACCGAACAAATTGAATAAAAACCCCAAATACAAAGTTTTGTCAATTGCTGCAAAACTTGATTTTATTGCAATGAAAGATCCTGAGTTTGATCAAGAATATTAGGGATGAATGGGGGAAATTATGGGAACAGAAGCTTGATCACTGTGCACAAAATTTTCAAGTTGACTTTTCATTAAGACTGCTTACAAAATTTCAGCTCGGACTTCGTTAACACTTGACCATCTGTCTCATATGGTGCAACGAACACTAAATTGCCAGTTCAACAATAAGTTTCATGGCTATTTCTTTCAACTACATGTTTCTAAGACCTTGGTTACTTTTATAGCGTTCATGGTTGAATCTATGTTCTGGCTAATTCAATGGCTGCTCCAACGTAGGAATGTGACGTTAACTTCAAAAGATGGGTCTTAGCTTCTTTGGGTAACTCCAAGCCTTCGATAAACTCCCTTATACTTTCTTTGGTAACAGTTCTTCCCCTAGTTAGCTCCTTCAGCTTCTTATGAGGCTCTGGAACACCATATCTCCGCATGACCTACACATAAGTTAAAAGAAACAAGAATGAAGTGGACTTTGTAAGGGAGACAATCGAGTTTGAGAATCAAGCACTAGCATCTCACCCGAGCTATTAAAATATCAACCTGAAGGATATAAGCTGCTACCACTTTGTGGTTAAAAAAGGATGAATCAAGATACAGAATAAGATAAATGAAGAACAGATGATACATACAGTCTGTATTGGCTCTGCAAATGAAAATGGAGTTTAAAAGGGATAGAAGTATCTAGCAGAAAAAGCTTTGTGAGTAAGCACCTACTGCTACAATTCAGAGAAGAATCAGCAAGAGCTGTTGCTTCATAGGTGATATCAAGCTGCTAATCATTATGAGTTGAAGAAAACATGCTAATGTGCCATACCGCAAGTCATTGTTACATGACAGATTCCAAATTTCACAGATAAATAACCAAATATTCCACTTATTTACTAAATACCTTCAGCACTAAAATAATCACCATGCACTTCAAGGAGATTGGAACTTTTATGTTAAGTGGCATACCTGGAGCTTTCCTACTCCTCGTAACGCACTTTTGTAGGCAAGAAGAAAATGGCCTAGTCCTACCCCCATGTTTCTCAAGACAGTTGAATCAGTCAAATCTCGCTGCAAATGCAACACATAAGAAGAAATGTATTCTTTGTTGAATAGATTTTGACTAATAGCTATGAACTTTACATGCATAAAATCAAGTGGACATGATATGGTCTTACCTGCCAACGTGAAATAGGCAACTTCATGCTCAGGTAAGATAGATCTTCATTAGCCTTACCAAGATTACCTTCACTGTTTTCAAAATCAATAGTGTTTACTTTATGAGGCATTGTTGATGAGCCAATCTCACCAGACTTGGTTATCTGCTCCAAATTTTGAGCACAGAAAGATATTAGGTTGGCATAAAAACGATACTTATAAATTTAAGTCAACATCCTGCATCAAAATACTCACCTGCTTAAAGTATCCTAAAGATATGTAGCCCCATATATCTCTGTCAAAGTCAATCAATATATTGTTAAACCGGATAATTGCATGGTAAAGTTTTGGCATATAATTATGCGTCTCAATCTGCAAACAAGCGAAAACCAGATATATTCAATCAGAAGAAAATATCAACAATTTGACAAGATTGCATAATCACAAGTTGTATTCCAGGAGAAGCACATAAACCCATAACTGATCATATCCATAGACGGATAACTAAGAGTGTCACTCCTTCAACTGACATATATACTTTTACTATATAAGTGGAAGGAGTGCACGAAACATACCTGAGTAACATAGGGGTTAAACTTTAATCCAAGAGAAGTTACAAACTCTTCTGCAATTTGAGGCCAGTTAATATTTAGGATATGCAACAAGATGGGCATTGTAGTTTCCAACTGCACCAGCAAACTTGCCCATCATCTCAACTTGAGAAGTTTCTTGCCTTTCTCTGCTTAGCCTGACAGCAAAAATGGCCATCTCCTTTCCCAAGGTTGTAGATGAAGCTGGCTGAAATAAACCAAAGATTTAAGTGATCAAGTAATAAAAGCTATTTCTATAGTAAGTAATAGTAACAAATCAAAGACAATTAAAACAACAACAACAAAGAAATATAAGAAATCTTGGGATAAAACACTCTCTCTTTCTCTTTCCCATAGAAAAAAAAATGTGTCATCGCGATCGGCTTGACAGTTCAAATACTAATGCACAAATCAAAATATTATTCACTGAGTCGCTTATGACACATTAACAGAGAAATAATTAATTTCAAGCTTCAAATCACTCGTCTACCTGGCCATGTGTGCGAGAAAGCATAGAAATACTTGCATTAGCCTTAGCCATCTTACATATTGCCTCAATCAATTTATCCATAGTTGGAAACATGACTTTGGTCATTGCCTCTTTCAACATCAATGCATGGGGAAGGTTGTTTTTATCCTCAGATGTGCAAGCAAAATGGAAAAATTCAAGCACCTGAAACCAGAGAGAAAATGTAATTTGATCCTAGAATTCCCAAAGAATTACTTGCATGAATTTAAGTCAAACAAAAAAGATAATGTGTCAAGGAAATAATGAGTAAATCCCAACCTTGGCAATCTCTGGGTGAGATTGGCATTTCTGTTTCAAGAACTATTCCACCGCTTTTACATCATGGTTAGTTACTTTCTCTATTCTTTTAACTTCCAAGGTATCATCCATGCAAAATCCATCAATCAATCGTTGCAAATAGGACTGAGCTTCTGCACTGAAGCTTGGAACTTCAATGACTTCAGGAATTTGTGAAAGCTTCAGCAACCATTTAATCTGACAGACTATTTATATTTAAAAAGGGTCCTTCAAGAAAGCATAGAAAAAAGAAAGAAAAATGAAGTTCATTGACTTATATGATGAAAATATAAATAGAATTCAACTTAATAGGATTTGGAAATCAGTTATTGTACGTTATACATCAACCACAAGTCTCATCATATCATTTACATTTCATCGACTCGTTTCAGTTGGCAACCACCAGTCAAGTATCAGAGGATTTATGTTACCCTTTGATTCATGGCACCCACACTTTCCAATATTTCCCATAAAATTATGTCAATCAGCGTAAGATTTATCACAGCTGAAGTTCAATCAAGTCATAATTCAACTATGCTAAGACAGATTCTATAATGAATCCAATTTCCAAGATGTATATGAATTAGATTTCAAACAATGAGCAAAAGGCAAAACATTGAAGCCAAGTAGGCACATAGAACCAACAATTTGAAACGAAATTACTTTAAAAATGAATATATTAAGAGATTGATGATTACAAGATTACCTCAACAAGAACCCTAAAGTAAATAAGTTCATATTAACTCATATAGGGAGCCAAGTCCTTCCCTTTACCCCAATAACGACCATCCAAAGGTTACAATGCCATTAAAGTGGACAACTCAAGCTCACGAGAATTATCTCCAGACATATTAATCACCTACAATACAATAAAAAAAATCAAATCATGCACCAAAAGTAATTAAAGAAAAAAAAAAAAAACTCTTGCAATTCACTAGGTAATCATAGATGACAAATTAAAACAAAACAAAATGTGGGTATTTGTTAAAACTCACATTTACCACCTTAAACATCAAATTCAACAATAACAAGATTTAAAAGAACTCAACTTTTCTTTCAAAACTCAAATGGAAATGGGCTTCGATCAATTTTAAAAAAGCTACAGCGAAGAGAAATGGGTAAAGCCTGTCTGAAACAATGGTTTCTGCGTGAAAAAGCTGTGTAAAGCTGAAAGGAGGCATTTGAGAATTGATGGGTATGTTTAGTATTGTACAAACTATTTATGTTCCCAAAGATTGGAGCTTTCTTGGTTGTAAAGGGTTTAAAAATGGGGTCTGATTTTTGGTTAAAACCCCAGAAAAAACCCTGGCCTCCATAGAAAAAGAGCAGAGCTTTGAACTGTGACAAGAAAGGCTGAAGTCGGGGCGGAATGGATTGTGCTTGGCGGTAATCTTTTCACAGGCTTTTTGAGGTATAAACCCTAATCTTCAAAACCCAATCAAATTGGGAACCTTTTTGGGCTTGTAATTTGGGTTTAAATTATGTTTCGGCCTAATTTAAGATCCAAGCCAAATAGTACAAATAGCCCAAATTTTGGTGGTTTATCATCAATTAAGTTAAAAGTTTAATATCTGCTGTAATCCTAAAAAAAAAAAAAAAGAGCTATAATCCAACTTACTTTTCACATATTGTGTTGACTAAGGGTGTCTTCAGACATGTTCCGAGAGAAGATTTGTATATTATTGTAAATGTCTTTTTATGATTGAATTTTTAAATAATATTTATGATGCGGTGAAAAAAATTTTTTATCATGCATTTAAATCAAACTTAAATATCAATATATCACAAATTAAAATTATATAGAATGAAAAAAAATCTGAAAATTAAATGGCACATTAAACAATGATTGAAGAAATGGTGAGGCAATTGTGGACCTCCAATTCCCATGCTAACAACCTTACATATGCAATAAAAAAGGCAGTTAAAGAAAGCCCCCTTCCAAGTTCCAAGGCCTAGCCTCGACAACATTTTATCAAGGCAGCAATTAGCAAGCCTTCCCTATCACAACATCTCTTGAAATATGGGACCATAGCCACACATTAGTGAGAGATGATAATATAAGCTCACTCCCTTACCTTTCCCCGTTTCCAAATTGATTTTAGGCCTATCCTCTCACCAGCTGCCACATGTCACGACATGGTTAACTGCCTATCTCCTACCCTACTCAACTCTCAAGCACTTTCCCTGCCACAAGGCACAAGTAAGAGATTTCTGAAGTTTCAATTCTGTAATAATAAAAAAATTTCAACCATGGAGACTGGTGTCAACTGCTATGCGCATGGCATTGTTCTTCCTAGTGTCTCCTCTAAGCATTCCACTGCATTAGTCTCCCCACCATCACTATCTCCTTCCTTCAGTTCAAGGGTATGATTATATATATCAGTTATCATGCATGCTTTCTTGGCTTGCCATGAGTACTTCAATAAAAAATTATACTGAATTAATGTATGGCAGAGCCTTAAATCAAGCTCTCTATTTGGGGAATCACTGAGGGTTGTGCCAAGATCATCATTGAAGGTTTCAAAGACAAAGAACTCTTCCCTTGTGACAAGATGTGAGATCGGAGACAGCCTGGTAAATCAACATAGTAAAACTTTTCTAGCTTGTTTTTTTTTTTTTTTTTGGGTTCTTGAATCAGTAATTTGAATGTGTTTTATATGGTTGTAGGAAGAGTTCCTGACAAAGGCAACCCCAGACAAGGGACTGATTAGATTGATGATGTGCATGGGAGAAGCATTAAGGACAATTGCTTTCAAGGTTAGGACAGCTTCCTGTGGAGGTACAGCTTGTGTGAATTCCTTTGGAGATGAGCAGCTTGCTGTGGATATGCTTGCCAACAAGCTTCTGTTTGAGGTTAGAAATGACCAACAAAAAAATTGGCTCCTATATCTACAATTGGTGGTTATTTCAAGTCTTCTTCATAAGCTTTTCAGATGTCATTTTGATGAAAAAGATTAAAAATGGTATCTAATTTGAGTTCTAGATGCACTTTTTTTGCATGTCAGTTCCTAATCCCAGTTAAAAGGAACTAATAGAGAGGTAAATCATATAGTTAGGCATATAAAACTCTGAACGCAGAATGATTTAGACAACCACTCATTGTCCAAGTTCTAGCAATTTGTCTGTGAAGTTTAAAAGTAATAATTTTTGGTTATGATCCATATATAGGCCTTGACTTACTCACACTTCTGCAAATACGCATGCTCAGAAGAAGTTCCTGAGCTTCAGGACATGGGAGGCCCTGCAGAAGGTCTGCATGTCTTTCAACCTCTTTAAAGTTTTTTCATCAGTTGAAATTACTGATCCAAATTTCAAGAACTTGTAGACTAGTCATAATTTATTACTACATGAACAGGTGGATTCAGTGTTGCTTTTGATCCACTTGATGGCTCTAGTATTGTCGATACAAATTTCACCGTAGGCACCATCTTTGGGGTGTGGCCTGGAGATAAGTTAACTGGAGTAACAGGAAGAGATCAAGTTGCTGCAGCAATGGGAATTTTCGGTCCTCGGAGTACATATGTTCTTGCTCTTAAGGACATTCCTGGCACCCATGAGTTCCTCCTGCTTGATGAAGGTACTTGCAAGTTGCAACAATATTAGTATCAAATTTTGCAATCAGAAAATGACCAAAGATTAAGGAATAAGTATTGAGCACCTCAATTCCTCTTGTTCACTCTAAAATGATGTTTCCCTGGTGCATTTATCAGGAAAATGGCAACATGTCAAGGATACCACAGAGATTGGTGAGGGAAAAATGTTCTCCCCTGGAAACTTGAGAGCCACATTTGACAATCCTGAATATGACAAGGTTCAAGTCAATTATATTTAACTTTTCCTAGTTCTTTTAATGAGGGAATATTATTGCTTTATCTCTTATTGTTTTTTACATTTTAAAAAACAGTTGATCAACTACTATGTGAGAGAGAAATACACATTGAGGTACACTGGTGGAATGGTACCAGATGTCAACCAGGTATGCCAAGCTTCTTCCATACCTTGGTTTTCCTATAGTTCATATTGTTGTCAATTTTAAAATGATTTACTATTTGTTTATCTACAGATCATTGTAAAAGAGAAAGGTATCTTCACAAATGTGGCATCACCATCTGCCAAAGCCAAGCTGAGGCTGTTATTTGAGGTAGCTCCTTTGGGGTTCCTGATTGAGAAAGCTGGTGGTTACAGTAGTGATGGTCATCAGTCAGTACTAGACAAAGTGATCAATAATCTTGATGATAGAACCCAAGTTGCATATGGTTCCAAGAATGAGATTATCCGCTTCGAAGAAACCCTATACGGATCCTCAAGGCTCAAAGCAGGGGTCCCTGTTGGAGCTGCTGCTTGAGAAACAGTGTTTACTTATTTGCCTTTCAGCCTTTTTCTTTTCTCTGTGTCTCAACTGTCAAAATTTTAAGCTATTCCATATAGAAGTTGTAGAATAGTGGAAGAAATGCTCCAATTATAAAAGGCTGAGCTCAATTCAGCATATTTTTCCCTGGAAAGTATTTGCTTCTTTAGGTGTAATGAGACTTGAAGCAGAAGTTCTCATACAATTATTCCAGGGCCAATGCACCTCCTTCTATGAAAGCTGCTGCTATATTACTTCCATGGCACCCAAGGTCTTAATAAACTGTCTATTCAGCTACCTTTCACCACCAGCAAGCAAAATTTCTTACAAAAAAATGTTCTATCATTATAATTTTGGTGTTTTTTTTTAGGAGTTTCGTTTTTACATTGCCATTTTGAAGTTCACATAACAAGGGAACTTAAGATGGCATTTCTGGTAGACAACGGCAATGACCTGAACGAGTCACTTTTATCGTCCCCGACTGACCTTTCATAGTGTTAAAGCGGTGTTATGACATATTTAAAAAATATTCAATATCTTATAATCTTATATTGAAATTAGATCTCTTCACTTATTATCAATTGATTTTAAATTTGATGTTTAATATAATATTAAAATTAATATTTCTTTTCGTTGCTCTTTCTAAATCTGACAAATTTTTTTATTTTTATCTACACATGATAATTATCTAATAAAATAGTATTATAACATATCTAATAAATATTTAATATTTTATAATTTTATTTTTAAATTAAATCTTTTCACTTATAATCAATTAATTTTAAATTATATGTTTATTACATACTGCTAGACAATCTATCTTCCTAGACAGCTTTGAGAATCAAAGTTTGAAAATTTTTTTATTGAAAAACAATAAGAGATTTGTGAGTGAAAAGCAATAATAGATTTGACAAACAGCAGATGATCAAAGGATTATTGTTTTTACTTGTTTAGCCATCATTTTTTCATTCAAAAATATATATGGAGAAAAAAAAATCAGAAATTCAGACAGGCACTTTAATTTGAAATGTTTAATATTAAAATTATTATTCATTAATTTTTATTTGGAAGTTTTCCATTAAAATTTACATGAAATCACAAAAAAAATAAGATATTTTTAACTTTAATGTTAAAGTTGTGACAGTTAATGTTCATTATGATGATATGATGGGCTTAATTATTATTTTTAAAGTTTAGAAAAGGACAAATTTGATGATGGTTTAATGGTAGAAAACTCTATCATTCTTTTATAATGCTTTTTTTTTTCTTTTCTTCTTTTTCAAGAGTACCATTATAATTTTATAAACTTTTTGGGCTAACCAAGTTCCACTACATCACACCTCCGAACCCAAAAAATAAAAATTAAAGAAATTAAGATTTTATTTAATTCTAATAATTTTAAAATAACACAAAAAATTTAAAATTTTAACAAAATTATATATAAATTTAATATGTTTTGAATTTAACATATCAAATGAACCATAACACAAAAATTTTTATATTTTATACATATTTAACATAAAATAAATATAATACAAATGTACAATTACCAAACCTAACTTCATCTATAAAAAAATAAAAATTCCATAATCAAATCCTTATATAATAAGAAGGAAAATTTTTATTTTAACACTCCAAGCCTCACAAAGCTATCTTTCTTAGCTTCCTTGTCTCTGTCCAATTCTAGTCTCTTGGAACTCATCCACTCACAGTTAAAAGCCAATATTTCTCTTCATTTCCCTCCTCAATTCTCTTCAACATTTCCCTTTGATCACTTTTTTTTTTTTTTTGTTTCTTCTCTTCAAAGAAACCCAAACAAAGAAAACCCAATTTCCCTCTATTTTCTATCAGTTTGATTATCCAAAGAATCTCCTTTCATTTTTTCTTCCACAACTTGGCCTTTTACTTTCTCCACCACCTTTCAGTAGTTTTTTCTTCTTTTTTTTTTTCACTTTATTGCTTTGTTTTTAGTATAAATTCAAAGTTCCAAGCTTGGTTTGTTCTCAATTCTCCAAGAATTCTACTCGTTATAAATAAATAAAGCACCCAGATTTTCCTGTCTTGTTGTTCTTTTTCTAGATTCTCTTGATTCTTTAAAAGTTTGTATTTTTAGATTCTTCAGTTTATGCTGTTGAAAAAAAGATTGATTCTTGATTCCCAGGTAAATGATTCTGATTTTAATGCTCTCTTAAGCATCTAAAGCTCTTTACTTTCTGCAATCAGAAACAGTCTCTTCCTTAGCTTCATATTTCTTTCATTTCCAATATGAAAACTTCTTTTTCAAGTTAAAATTGCATTTTTTTTTTTTTTCAGAATTTGTCTAGCATGGAAACTTTGCATGCAACTTCTTTCATGTCGAATTTGGATTGGTTTGATCAAGAGAGCAACAACACATATTGGACAAAGGAGGAGAACAAAAGGTTTGAGAGTGCTTTAGCCATATATGGTGAAGATGTTCCTGATAGATGGATGAAAGTAGCAGCAATGATACCTGGAAAAACTGTTTTGGATGTGATTAAACAGTATAGGGAATTGGAAGAAGATGTTTTTGATATAGAAGCAGGGCGAGTTCCGATTCCAGGTTATCTTAGATCATCTTTTACATTAGAATTGGTTGATAATCGTGATTTTGATGCCTATAGGAAGAGGTCTACTGGGGCTAGAGGTCATGATCAGGAGAGGAAGAAAGGGGTGCCATGGACAGAAGAAGAACACAGGTGACTTTCCTTCAAAAACTAGTCAAAAATGCTTTAAACACTCAGGTTATTGTTGGTGATATAAATTTTTTGAAACTTAGTTGAATCCATTTCAAAATTCAGTCAAATTGTTATGAGTGCAGTTAACAATTCAAAGTAACTTTGTAGTTATATTTTTCTATAATGTCTAACCTGAAACTTAGATGATTTCTGTACTTGTTCTAACCATGGTTTCTTTGATCATCACATATAGGCGCTTTCTGATGGGACTTATGAAGTATGGTAAAGGGGATTGGAGAAATATCTCCCGAAATTTTGTGGTTACCAAGACTCCAACTCAGGTTGCAAGCCATGCTCAAAAATACTATCAGAGGCAGCTTTCAGGAGGGAAAGATAAGAGGAGACCAAGCATTCACGATATTACAACTGTCAATCTCACCAACACTGGTTTTTCAGACAATCATAAGCCTCCTTCAGTAAATCAGTCTACTGTTCTTGCATTGCAGCAAAAGCTGGCTAGCATGCAAAAAGTCAGCCAAAATTGGAATCACCCAAATGATGGATCAGCTTTGGCTTTCAATTCAACTCATGGGAATTGGTTTACATCATCTCAATACCAGACTGCTTCAAATGGCATGAGACTTCAGGAGCAAAATCTGTATGGCAGTGCTTATCATGGAGCTCATATAACACCCCAGAGCTCAGTGTTCTAAACCCTTACACAGGATATGAAATGCATGGATACATGAGGCTGTTGTTTTCTGTTGTACACTCAACGTTTCAATTTCAAATCTAACAATGTTGAGAAGGGTTTTTCAAAATGCTCTTTTTCATGTCTTCTGTTATAGACGAGATGGTTTTGCTTATTACACAATAGTGGAATCATGTATTGCTTAAACACCGGTGTCCAAACTGTAAATTTATCTATACAAGGAATTGTCTTGGTGAACAAATTCATGTGCTAGAGGTAACTCTACCTGGTTAAAATCATGAATGAAAAACGGCTTTTCGGAGTATGAATAAAAGAGAAAACATATCAGACCCCTACTATTTTCGCATTTATTTGTCAGACAAACATTTATCCAAGTTCTGGATTCTCTATTAGCTTTGCTAATTTTCCTAGCTTTTGTTGTTCTCCATTCTGATGCAGGCTAAAGCCTTGTTGGATGATTAGGACACTTTGCCCATAGCTGAAGGCCAAGAATCACAAGACATTGGCATTACGGGATGTGTACGAGGCAAGATCAATGATTTGTTACTGAGATATGAGAAATTTGCTGCAGTTGTCATGGAGTGATCCAAAAGAACCTTTTGCTACTTTTGCAACTATAATAGTTTTTGTAATGGTTTCTGCCATGTCATTTGGTGATGTGGCCTAATTGGCTGACTCATTTGGCACTGCTTTGGAAATTCTCAAAATCTGATTGCTTACTTTCTCTTGGATCCCTTCTGCCATTTTCACCTTTATTGATCCAATATGGCCAAGTTGACCAAGCTTGATTGCCATCACTTAGTCGAAGCTGAGTATGCATTCCACTTAATTAAGCATCACATGCTTCAACCTGCTATAGAATATAGAAAGATGCAATGTGGTTTACATTTTTATTTTTCTCTGATCATCTTTATTTTGGTCCAATCCAATTTTGCCCTTTTCTTTGATATTTCTCTTTCAGCCAACCCAATTGTAATGGTGGCAAGACTGATTCATTAGCATAACAGCTTCTTTTACAGGTCTCTGGAGGCATCACTCCTTTTTGTGGTTCATATGTTTACTTGAGAACCAAAAAAGGAATCTAACTGTTCATGTATTTTTGGCCTGCTATAACCATGTTGAAAGGAAGCGAAAATCTAGCTTTGAAATTAGGCAGATCAACTGCCAACTTTCTCTTTTACCTTCAGAGAATATGTTTCTTTTTTTCTTTTTTTTTTCTTATGGGAACAGGAAAGAATATGATTTTACTTTTTTTTTTCCACATGTTCCTAAAATCCTTCTGAGATTCTTCCTTATTGGTTGGAGCTATGCTCATTTACTATTTTAGGTCCTTGAGTTTGTGCCATGCGATCCTGGAACTGAGGCAACTATAAATTTCAACTCTTTGGCAGCATCCTGCTTACAAATTTACAATCCATTCCATAAAAACACCAGTTATGTTAATCTTCTGATAAGATCCTAACAAAATACCATGGTTCATCAGATCATGAAAAGCTAAGAATACAGTACATAAATCATGTTTTGAAAAAGGGTTATTAAAAATATCAGCTCTTTCAACGCTTAGCTTGGTTGACTAATATAACCACTCTTAAAAAATAACATTCAAATTTAGAGTTCAAATCTCAACACTTATAATCTCCTTCTTATGCGAGCATTTTGGATTTGATTCTTTACCCTGAGAGCCTAAACTCAATCAAAACAAGATTTACTGAACTGCCATTAACAGTACAAAAAATGCTGGTAATTCTACTCTTCAGATGCTTTAGTGGGACCCTAATGAAATGAATAGGTTGATGATAATGATCACTCTACATAGGTAGGCAAATAGGCATTCCACATATGAAAAAATTGTCACTTTTTTGTTTTCTTTGCATTTCCATTGTGGGATCTACTCCCCCACCAGGACAACTGTTGCTGCTGCTGCAACTAGATGGAAGGGACTAGTGCCTTACCCATGTCACTTTGCATGTATATCATTCTCTAAGCCACACAAATTCAAGTGTTCAAAAGCTAAAAGCACAAACATGATCAACATAATTGTTTTTACCAACTTTTTTTCTCAGAAGATGACAAAAACTATCTACTTTGTATTATATTTTTTTTTCTAAGAGAGCTGCCTTTCTTCAACTTGCATATGAAACCACTCTTTCCCACTTTATTCTAAATTTGATCAAACCTTTTTGGCCATCTTTCCTTCTTTCAATTTCCAGAAAGAAAAGAGGCAATCTTACTTTAGTAATAACGCAATGATCCACCTTCAAAATCCTTTTGAAGAACCATGCAAACCCTCCCCCCCCCCCCCCAACCCCAATTACAACAGCATGATATATATATATATATATATATATAGATATATATTACAGACTGGCCTGCTTTATTTAAGGATGATCTTGGCTTGAGACCGTTTTGTCGTCAGATCTCATGCAAAGATGATAAAGTTGTGTTGATATTATCACTTGATACAAAATTTATTTATATATATTCATGGCTTGGCATATTTTTAGAAGTCGTTATGAAAGTTAATCAAGTCTTGATGTAAGGCGGAAGGGCACTGTTAATGATGGCCTTAGGAAGAATTTAAAATACACTATATAAAAATAATATAAAAAAAACACGAACTTAATGCAACTAAAATTTTAATAAAGCCCATATGGGTTTTACAAAAAAAAAAAAAATAGTATTTTGTATTTTTTGTTTTAAAGCAAATTATAATATATAATTTTTATGTAAAATATAATATGAATACACAAATCATCAAATTCTAATATAAAAGAAATAAGTTTGGCTTCTTGTTTCCCATTTCACTTCATTAGATCAATTATGTCATCCAAGTGAATTCTAAACTTTTGACTTAGAAATGGCATTAAAATTGTTCATAGTGCACCGTACTATACCATGCATCATGTGTTTGGTCTTTCATGGGAACATAACCAATGGCTGAAAAAGGCATAAAAAGGAACAAGACCCATAACTCTAAATTACTTTTAGCCCTTCTTAGCCTATTGCCTTTTGACATATAAAGTGATAAGATAAGTTCAAATTCATTGCAATTATCTTTCATATTCATGTGAAATCAATACTTTTATCATATTAGGGCCCCAATGATGATTTTTTTCATTGTAATTGTGGTCAGATAATGATTTACAGTCGATAAATCTATACAATTCTTAGTACCCTTGGTATCTCAATGTTCTTATCCTGGAGATTTCTTATGGAGATCGTATATTAAAGCCATTGTAATATCAATTTTTGTACTTTTGAGCACTTGCTGTTGATGATAGCCAGTTGTGAAGCACTCAGCTTTGAACCATCTACCAATGGAGAATTCAGACATGACTTTGAGCATATAAAAGTATTTAAGCCTCTTAAGTGCTACTTTGTTCTGATGGAACTCAAACAGGATCAGGTTTTGCCCATAATTCGACTTCTTTGCTGTAGTACTCCAATCTGTTGTTCCATTATATCATTTGATTCCATTAGAATTTACAATTGGACTTTGAAAAGACAAATGTCTGCATATTAAAAAACTTGAGAAGGATACCAAGTGAAATGTCAATATAGACTCATCATTCACGTCTTGTATTTAGATCTTGCAATTTTAAACATAACATGGTGACAAAATATGAAAAAAGATATCAAAGCAATACAGTTTAAAACTTTAGAAAAAACGTCTAGCAAAAACTAAAAATATGTTTTATATTAGAAATATCCACATAAATTGTTACATGACAACTTTCGTGCTTTACACGTATTAGATACAAAATAGATAAATATGAATACACGAATTATCAGGACTAATTGTATTTTCTTCTTAATTTGCAGCCTTAATCATGAATGGAGTACACAATTTAAATCAAATTGGATCAAGGCTGACGGGAGACCAGGATAAGAACATTGGACCATTAGGGAATGGAAAAAATGATGGCAAAACAAGTTCTTTCATCTCTTCATCAGGTTCTGTTAACAGTGTTCTCAAGTTGTAGTCCAATTCTAATGATTTGGGTAATCACTTCTAGGTTGATTCTTGGTCTTGGCTAAGGCATCAAGTAATACCGAGGGTCGGTACAGGTCATGAAAAGGAGTTCCTTCAACTTTCTGACATTTGTAATCACTGGCAGGTTTGATGTTGGTTACTATAATTGCTAGTACATTTTTCTCATGTAGTTTGATAGTCTGATCCTGAAATGGGTCCTGAAACTGAAGCTAATATGATCCAGAATCAGCCCTGAACTGTCAGCATCTTTTGGGTGTTGATCCTGATCAGAATTCCAAACGGCCAAACGCCCATTTTTACTACAAGCTACAAATTGGATATGGCAGCTATAGTTCCATAAAAAAACAGTGTCCTAATTGCTTTAGCCTCTTATGGCTGCCGCTGCTGTTGAAATCCTTTGAAAGAGGTTATCAGGGTTATCAGGCAATAGAGATCTCTCGCTTCAGCCACCTGTATGGATGGAACTTTTGTAAAAACAGTACCCTTCAATTTTACTCATTTAAACGTCTCATGATTCCTCCTTCTGACTCTCCTTAATGAAAGCTTCAATCCTTTGATGGCAACATAGAACTAGAAATTTATGAGAAGAAAAAAAAAATTGTCTTAATGGCTATGCAATCAATATTTTGATTATCGCATCATTAGTACTTATATATGGTTTAAAATTACCTACGTCATCATCAATGAAATATTAAAAGAAAAATTAGACAAATATTAATTTATATCTTTATACTCTTGATTGATTTAAATATTGGAACGGGTTCTAAAATACTATGTTCGACATCTCTAACTGTCTTCGTTACGACAAGTCAAACACGTTCTTCATCTCAAAACCAAAAATTAATGTTAATTAAGCCGCCCTGACTGTCATTTTCAATGCCATAAATAATAGTTCCTACATTCTAAACCAGGATCACAAAATCATGACAGAAGATTTTTTCTAAATGTGACATCCTCTATGATTCCAATAAACTTTCCAACAAGACAACACTAATGTTACACGTTAGTTAGTAAAACAACTAGAGTAAAAGAGGTTTTCCTGATGTCAGGACTGGCTGACACTTTCTTCCAGGTCCATCCGGAACACAATAAAGTTATCTCCGATGTGTAGCACTGAAGCTTTCTTTTCAATGGCAATGCATGAAAGTTATCTCCTGAAATGGTTGGTCAGGATTGCTGCACATAATGTAAGGATCTGCAACTTTGCCAGCATGCAGAAATCAAAACTTTGATTTCTTTTATGCCACCAGAAAATTATCAGATTAAAACCTCATGTAGCTTTGATGGCATGCCTGATATCTCTCAGTTCCCATGGAATTTCCTTTTCATTTTATTTACAATCTATTGCTTTAATCATAACGAAGAAAATGGAGGAAACTTGAAAAACTACATTTGAAAAAAGGGTCAGCTCCAAATTTTCTGCCGTATTTTTGTGACTAAATTATCTCAGATATCAAGTTTCCCCCAACAATGGCTTCTCACAGCAAAAGCTTCAATTCTTTGATGCCATTAGTAACTACATCTGGCTATTCATGTATGGTATCTTGTCTGAAACACGATACACTTTTTTTTTTTTTATCAAATATATATATAATTTTTGCTACAATTTTAAGTAATGTAGCTCATTGAATTTATTAAAAATTTCATAGTAAATCCAATTTGGATTGCTTCTTCTGCATCTTTCACAGGCAATTATTCCGCTAACTACTCTATTAAAAATTCCAAGCACACAAATCGTATGCAGGAATCATAATGAATTCTTATGCAGTAACATTTCCATCTCTCGCAAAAACAAAAATACACTTAAAATTGAACATTTTCCATGTCTGCCACTATCAAAAGTTTCTGTTAAGATTCATTCAGCAGAATCAACAGAAAAATCGGTAAAGGCTTAACACCTAAGCTATTTCCACGGACAATGGACAAAACAGTAGCCCACCAAACCAGCAAGGGCTTTCAAAATTACAGAGCAAAACACAATCTTATTACATGACGAAGTCTCGAAACAAAATCGAAAGTGAAATATCAAATTGGAACCTTCTAAACAAAAAAAGGAGAAAGGTACACAAACTTTATAAACAGGACGTGGCTGGAAGTAATGGCAACTTGGGAAAAGGTCATATTTACATCTCTATTCCGGCAACTAATGTATCCAAACGAATAACAGTATCTGGAAAATCTTTTCTTGGTTCGGCTAGGGAGTAATACGCAAGTATATGAGCCGGATGCTCAACCACGACAGGCTCTCCAACCTGATAAGTCGGAACTACTTGTCTTGCAGGAATTAGCTCAATGTTCCAAAATGGACGAGCCATCGCTAATAGATCACGATCAGGTGGAGTTGATGCTCTATATCCTTGCACCCACAAGTACCTCAAAGAAGTTAATTGCATCACAGAAACTGCTAGTGCATGCTCACTGAAGCAACAACCCCTCATTTCTAGTTTCTGCAAGCTAGGGCATCCCCTGGAAAACTCCAAAAGTCCAGCATCTGACTCCCCAACACAACCCAGAAGCATCCATCTGACGTTTGGACTATATTGGCCAATATAACTGAGGCCAACATCAGTCAAACCACCAGGTCGGAGATAGAGAGCAAATCTTCTAAGCTTTTCACAGCCTCTCAATAGAGCCCGGACGCCATTGTCAAGAGGCAAATCTGTTATCCTCTCTTCCTGGTCAAGCAAGACTAGACGGAAATCAGAGAGATTTTTTGAGTATGTCCCAATGTATTCCAATGATGCATTGGTGATGTCGGATACATAAACAGCCAAGTATTCCAATTCAAGGCATCTAGGAGCTAATGCCATTAATCCTCTTTGTGAAACCACACCTTCTTCATCCTCCATTCCCTGCTCATCAGCACCTCGCTCAATTCTAAGCCTCTTTAGTTTCTTACAACTTCGTGCAAGAACTTCTAATCCCCTATCTCCAATAACGTTCCTTGTCTGCCCATGAGCAAATATATTTAATAAGACCTGATTAAAGAAAATGAAAAAAAGCATGTCCTATCTACAATATTCTTCTGCATTTTGGCATTTTTACATTATCTAAAACTTTCCAAGACTTTTTTTGAGCATTTAGTACATTCAGCTACTGAAATCTCAATGCCAGATAAAATTTGCCACCAAAAAAAAAATGCTAAAATTCAATAACATACAACTACATTGAAGTAGACCAGCAATTTAAATCATGACACAGTTTAAAATTTTAGTAATAATTATATCTGAATTTAACAAAACCAAAAAAACACATTTTATGATTTCATGTCGACGCGACGCGAATTGTGACATGCAATTTTCGTATAAAATATAACATTAATACATAAATTTTAATATTTTACATGACATGAGTACATGAATCACCATGTCTATATTGAAGCTCAGACCAGAAAACAAGGTCAAAAGTGTCTTAATAATGGACCAACATTTTAAGAAACTTTTCAAAAAAGAAAAAAGTTCATCAATAAAATGCCAAACTTCATAAACAAACAAAAAAATCCACTTGGAACCCCAAAAAGTTATAGCCAGACCAAACAAACAAGATAAGAGTTGCAATTAGAACAGCAAAATAATAAAGACAAACAATGGCTTTGTGATTCTACCTCTAGAACTTCTAAATTGGGGCATCTTTCGATTAGCAAACAGTGGTCTTCTGTGTCGAGTAATGCATAGAGGAGATCCAACTTTCTAAGCAACAATGCGAAGGGAAACACAATTGGCATTTCATTTTTCCCCATGTATGTTAAACCCAAACAGCACAACCTTGGGGGGAATGTTACAACAGTATATCTGTCCGGTTTCTCATTGAAAGAACCACCACAAAATTCTTCTAAAACAGCAGCAGCATGAAAGAAACCAACAAGATCCAGAATTTCACAATCGCTGATTTTCACAGACACCAAGTTGCGACAATTTCTGGCAATAAGTTCGAGATCTTCGAAACTCACTTGGACAAGATACGTCATGTAGAAGTTTAAAGTCTCGAGAACTGAGTTATTTATCGCAATCTCATGAAGCCATTGACCATCATTCTCAACAATTGAGCTCTCTTCCAGGAACAAGGTTCTTAATTGCCTGAGGAAACAAAAAAAGATATAAGTACTGTCCTTCAATTACCCTAACCGAGCAAGCAATATAGATGGAAAAAAAAATAGAGGTTTCAAAAACTAAAATCACTTCCATATTTTCCCAAGAAACAAACAAAGAAAATATTTCCTCCAAATCAACTAAACTAAACTTGTACATCCAAGTACTAGGAAGTGACTAAATCAATCCTTACACTCCATTCCACTCAGTTCAAGCCATATCTCTTTATAAAGATGCTCAAATTCAAAACCCTTAAAAATATAAATGATACATTAATATTCATAAATTATTTAGATTTAATTTCAATAAAATTCAAATTTGATTATATCATTATTGAATTAAGTTAAGAGTATCATAATATCCGACTTGAACAAATTTAATTAAACTTTTAAATTTTAAAATATTTTATTATTTAATTAAAATTATTATTTTATTATATATTTTTTATTATTTAATTAAAATTATTATTTTATTTTTATTTTATATATAAAAAATAAAATAAAAATTTTAATTAAATAATAAAATAAATTAAAATTGATATATATATATATATACATCAATTTAAGTTCGAATTTAAATTTAAATACATAATGAAACTTTAAATAAAGCATAAAAATCGAGCTCATTTATTATTAAATAAATTTATTCGTTAATTCGATTTTTATCCCAGAAATTCAATTTAAAAATTCAAGCTTGATGAAACTTAAGTCAGGTTTCAAATCAATCTAGAGTTTTTTATGTATCAACTCGGCAGCTCGATTACATCTCCAGCCCTTCGGATATCGAATTAAAAAGCGAAGTTCATCGCACTTAAGAAGCGAAATTAACATTATCAACCTTGCAAAATCCCAAAAAAAAAAAAAAAAAACCATAAATTACAAAATAAAATTTTAAAAATAGAAAATTTACCGGCACAAGCGGCCAACGTGCAGGAGACCATCAGTGGAAAATCCAGAGCATTTATCAAGTTTCAAAACCCTCAAAACTTTCCCTCTAGACCCAGCCAAAACCTCCAGATCCGAATCTTTAACAATCATCCTTCTAAAATGCACGGATCTCAAGCAATTGAAACTCTCCGCTATTTCGTTCACCCACGGCGTCACGTACCCTCCCCAATCTTTAGGTATCAAATTAAACATCGCCGCCCGAGGCATCCCTTTTAGCTTCAACGATTCCAAGTGTCGGAAACGCCGTCGCAACCGATCCGGACTCGTCGTGTAACAAAGCGCGATCGTTATGTGCTTACGTGTCAACGCGTCGAGCTCGTACCAATGTCGGCAAACAAGGGAAACGGCGTCGCGGTCTTTCGGGTCGTGGATGTACGGCATCACGCAGCTTAAAACGACGTCGGACATACCGGTATCTGACGTCGTCGTTTTGTTCAGCTTTTTATTATTTTCCTCCATCCAAAAAACCGAACCGGAACTTTTTAAAAAAATCGAAATTTTTTTTTTTAACAAAACGAGAACCGTATAAAAAAAAGACCGATCTGGGGAAGAAAGAAAGAAAGCAAGAAACGTTTTCTACTGAACTTTATCTTATCTTGTAGGATCTGAAACGAAACAGACTTGGCTCGGGGATAAAACGAATCGGTTCAGGTGTGGGTCGGGTTTAGAAGGCATGGTAGAAAGGGCGAAGCAAAGAGAAATGTGAAGCCTGAAGACAATAAAGCTGAGAAAATTCTTTTAGTAGAGCACAGAGGACTAGAAATGGACGGTCGAGATTGATTGGATAGAAAAGATCGAACATGAGAAATAAAATTATGGGATCATACAAAGCAACTAGGAAGAAAACGACAGGAAAATACCATTGCGACCAATCAGAGAGTTGGGAGAGTGAAAAGGATTTAATAATCATAAATTTATGGGATATGACGTGGAATGATTTGATTGGATGTGTCAGCTAAATAATGGTACTTTTAATTGTAGTAGATTCCAATGGGTCTGCTGCTCTTTATGCTTGGGCAAACCTCCAACGGTAAGAAAAAAAAATTGTCAAATACATTTATCGTTGGTTTTTAAATTTTACAAGAAGAGTTGAGTGATATATATTTTTGTAGTATATATTTAAAAATTAAATTAATTAACAAATAAAATATTTGTTAATTTTTTAATTTTATTTATGAAAGTAAAAAATTTTATTAATAGTGTGAAATCTCCGTATCAATGGATTTATTAATTAAATTGCAATTGACACGTAAAATATGCCCAATTATTCTTTCTAGGATTTTCATAACTGTGTTGTGCAAAAATAAAGGATGCATTTGAAATGGATGCTTCTATTATTACATAGATCATGAGCGATATGTAAATGAAATAAATATTTATTTAAAACTAAAATTTTTTATTAATTATATATTAAATAATTTCTCAAAAAAATAAAGAACTTATTTTTATACATTAATAATATAAATTTTTTAATACCAAAAACAAGGTGAAAAGATTGCCATTTTTTAATTAACTTTTTATTTTTTAATATACTTTAAAATATACAAACTTGCTTCTAAAATTTAAAAACTTCATTAATAATTAGATAATTTTCCAAAAATAAATGTTAACAATTTGGATAAACCTACAATTAACTACTTCTTAATTATAAAAACTTTGGAGATAAAATTAATTATCCTTATTACAATATTGTTAAATTGATTGCAAATAGCCAAAAAAAAAGAACTATAAATGTTTTCTATGATTGGATCCACCATCCAATTTTACATTTAAAAATATTTTTTAAAAAATTAGTGTTTATTATTGGTCATATATCATGAATAAAATAAGAAAAAATTGTTTACAACTATTTTGGCAATATTTAATTTAAATACATAATAATAATTAGTAGAGCCAATTAATAATTTAATTAATGCGTTTTTCCCTTTCAAGACAAAGATGCCCACCAAATGCTTACCAATCATTTTATTTGTTTAGGCAAATTGATCAATTTCATCAATAATTTATTCAATAATTATTAAAAAAAAAAATACCTTACTGAAAAAGCGGAAAAAGTCAAAGATGTCCTTATTATGTCTAAAAATCGTTCCTTCGCTTTTGGCACTATTTTTATTATTTTTTATAAAAAATATCATAATTTAAAGATAAAAATTATAAAAATTAAATTTATTAAATATTTTTTTAAAATAATTATATGAATCAATTAATTAAATTTGAAATTTGCATTTCAGTTATAATTTTTTTTAAAATATCTAATTTTTTCGATATATCTATTAATAAATTTTATCCGATAATTTATATATTGCTTGATATTTTTATATAAATGAAAATAGGTCTAAAAATATAAATATGTAAATCAAAACTTTTTCTTAAAAAATATTAAAACATCTCAAAAGTTTTGATTAGCTTAATTGATATTCACTAATTAATAAAAATAAACCCATTTATTTTAATGTTAATTTCGATTTTTTAACAAAAGTTGAAAATTCCAATATGGCCAATGCATTTTAACCATTTTAAAAAAATTCTATTATATTTATATACAATAAAAATATTAATAACAATGTATAAAAAAACAAAAGCCACGTGGCAAAAGTAAGCTGAAGGCGGCGGTTGACTAGATCAGATGAAAACTGTAACAGAAAAGAATAGTTGTACGCTGAAAGAAAGACGAGTTCTCTTAAAATAACGGTGCGAACATGTTTGGATTACACGTGGCATTCTTCAATTGGATGTTTATTATATTACTTAACTCCTTTGATATTTGTTCATTTTTATTTTTAAATTTTTTTAGTTTTATGCTGAACAGTAGCTTGCATGCAAATAATAAATTTAATAGAATTTTATAAATAATAAAATGATTTTTTATTAAAAGTGATGGGGACACAACAAATGTAAAATTTAACTTTAATAACTAGATATTATAAAATATTATAATAGAGTTTGTACAAGAATGAGATATGGCTAACGTCACTTATCTTTTGTCACTTTTTGACATCAGTGAAACCCACTTTATTATTGATATTAATAATACACATTAAAATGGTCTACTGAAAAATCCAATAGGATTACTTTTTCTAGCCTACCAACTGGGAAATTTTATTTGTAACATTAAATCACCCAATGTCTACTTCTAAAATTTAATAATAATTAACCCCCATAAAATTATTTTTATAATTTAACTCATAAATTTCACAAAAATTTTTGTATGATATAATTACATCAAATCAATATATATTTATTTCATTTAAATCATGTCATATAATTGTATTATTAAAAAATAATAATTTATTATATCATGATAAATAAATTGTAAATATTTTACTTTAATAAATAATTGGTTTTTTCTATTTATAACTCAGTAATTCGCAAAAATATTTTTTGTCTAAATCTTTGAATATGCATACATTTTTATATACATACACATACATATATATATATATATATTCATTTAGTTTAGACAAGAAAATGTTATTGTGTTTAGTTTTTTGAGAAATTATTTGATACATTGATAATAGAGTTTTTTAATTTCATAAGTAAGAGTAAGATGATGACACATATCCCACTTTTATTTTAAACTATTTTTTAAATTTTTTTTAAATATACATTACAAAATATATATCACCATCTTAATCTCATTTGTGGAGTTAAAAAAATTTCATTATCAATGTATTTGATAATTTTTTTAATTTTTATTTTTACAAAAAATATCACAGCTTGAAAATAAAAAAAAATGATGTAGATGCAACTAATGAATCATAAACCTAGTGGATGTTCCCTTATAAAAAAACTGCTTAAATTAATTGAATTAAATTCTACATTAATTCATATGTACTTGCAAATAGTATAATAAATATCCCATAAGGACTAAAAATGAAAAAAAAAAAGGGAAAGGATCATGGTTTAATATTTATAACCATTGGATTCATAAGTAATATATTTATATTGTTATTGTTTATACCATTATAATTTACTTATAAACTATTATCACTTATAATGATTAAGTACATTGAATATTTAGCCTTTTTATATTATTATAAAGATAGAAAATTTTGGAAATATTCATGCAATATTTCATTTCATGAGATCTCCCAATACTATTTTTTTAGTAAAATATGTATTATAAATTGCTCATAATTAATTTCTATTTATATATTATAAATTAATTGGAATATAAAATGAAAGTAAAAAGGGAAAACTACTTGCCTAAGTGATAAAATGGGAGGCTTTTTCTTCTTTCATGTTTCTCAACTGCTTTGAAAACCATTTTTGAAGTCATTTTGTAAATTTTTTTATACATTTTTGGGCATTTTTTGGAGTAAAAAAACCCAATAAAAGTATGGTGTTTTGATTTTTTTTTTTTTTATCAACTTGAAAGCAAATCATGGATTGGTCCAATTTGTGTCTCCTAGCCAATTCATTAGATTTTCATAGCTATTTTATATGAATTAAATATGCATTTTGATTCTTTTTGTTTTGTGAAAAAGGGAAAAAATAATTTATTATTGTCTACCATTCCATTTGTTAGTCTATATATGTACTTGATGAAATTAATTTCCATTGATGGAAATATAATTATTATTATCATCATCATTATAATCATCATTATCTACTACCTTTTCATTAAGAAAAATCAACTCACTAATAATCATTTAAAATTTTTTACCTTTAGCTTTCGGTGTTTTTATGATTACGATCATCAATTGATCTTGATTATTAACATGATTGTCAAGAACAAAAATATAATTTTATAAAAAAATAAAAAAAAAACAAAAATTTATGAAACAAATCGTAGGTTCGAATTTTAATTTCTAAAAATGAGATCAATAGCTAGTAATAAGAATAAATACACTAATTATTTATAATTTACTTTTAAATTTAATTTTTGAACCCAAAATTTTAAAAAACATTTAAAAATCACGTCTTTTATAAATCAATATTAAAAAATGTAATGAAATATGCAACATAAATATCCATATAACAAAAATTTCAATCTAAAATTGTAAACAAATCCACATTTTTTTTTTTTGGTCACGTGAAGGATGTGCATATAGTGCCAAAGGATTAGATTTTATTATATTTTAATGACAGTTGATGCAATAAATAAATTTAAAGTTGTGTAATAAACTAAAAATTAAATTTAAAAAATAATGAATAAAAATAAAATATTATAACAAGAATAAATGGATGTACGATGAAATTTTACTAGGGTCTAGGAGTTCATATGGGCTAGGTTAGGTGGAAGTCAACAAATAACATGGTCCATCGACTTCACCTGTTTTTTAATTAACAATAATCCAAGCTTCTTTTTTTTTTTTTAAATAAAAGATTAAGACATTTTTACTTGTTTACTACCTTAAATATCACTTCAAACATCTTGTCTTTCAATCAAACAAAATTATAATTAATGAAGATTTTATAATTCGAGTATTTATATTATATAAAATATTTTAATAATTTTATATATTTATATAATAATTTTATATTAATATAAATTATATAAAATATTTCTATTAAGTCATATATTATTTATTTTTTAAATTATATTATCATATCATATTTTAAATTATTAAAATTTATTATTTGTCTTGTTTCGTTTTTTTTGTCCAATTCCTTTATATGAGACAAACTTTGTCTAAATTCATACATGGTGTTAACATAGTAGGGGAAACAATATTTCTTTTCTTTTCTTCTTTTTTTTTTGCTTATCTTTTTTTCAATATAAATTGATTATTCAATAACACAAAACTTCATGACCTTATATATGAAAGTAAGATGACATTCAAAAAGAAATAACACAAAATTAATAACACAAAATTATACCCTTTTATTAAGTTTTTCTGTGTTAAGAACCAAATGAAAAAAAAATTTTCCTAGCTCAACACTCCAAAGACGTAGCATTGCTAGTTGTTAACAATAACTTAACAATAAATATGATAATAGTACAATTCGAATTGAATTTTATTAAATTTTTTGTATATTATATAATTTATGAAAATTTAAAATTTGATTTGAATTTAAATTCGAATTGAATTGAATTTTTATTCAATTTGAACCGAATTGAACATTATAATTTCAAATTAATTTCTGAATTTTTTGATTTTTTAACTCCTACTTGATAATCATATATTAAATTGTGTCATAGCTTGGACAAAATTGTACAATATATATTTATACATGTGTGGCAAAAATGGTCAAAAATTATGCCACCTTTTCCCCCTAATTTCTGCTTTCATGGTGAATCAGAATCACAGAGTCACGTATGATTGAGTCAATGTTGAAAAAGAATATGCCATTGTCCTCTCAATCTAAAGCCTCCTCTCATCATTTTGAAAGTGTTGGTAGGGAAATCTTAATTGCTAATAGTAGAACCAAGTTTTTCTAGTTAGTGCGTAAGTACATAGATATCCGTCTTCACATTTCTTCTTGTTCGCCACTTTCGCACCTTATAATATATATATTTTTTAACGTAAAATTTAAGAAGATAAATTGTTCAATTTTTTAGAGTTAATATATGATGCATCTTATTTTAGAAGAGTTATGCCTAAGTAAAATTCTAACTTAAGATTACTTTTAAAGTCAAATTATATAGGAGAAAAAAAATAATATAGCATTAAAGTTGGATGTGATTATTCGTGTTTTTATATCATATAAAATATTAATAATTTATATATTCATATAATATTTTATATGAAAATTACGTATTATAATTTATATCAATGCAAAAAATATAAAATATATTTTTTAATTTTTATTAAATTCATATATGATTTTTATTTAAATTTTAAAATATCTCATTCATATATATATATATATATTTATCACTTTCAAACCGTATTTTAAATTGTTTAAATTAATCAAAGAAATGCTCCAAAAGTTGGTGGAAAATGTGGAAAAACCCATTCACATTCTAACCAAAAAGAAAAATACAAACCATTCACGTGTAATATTTTATACAAAAATTATATACCATAACTTATATCAATATAAATAATATAAAATATATTTTTAATTTTTATTAAATCAAAATTTAAAATGTGCCATATATTCGTGTCTTTTTTTACCTAGTTAAAGCATGTTTAAATTATCGAAACTAATCAAAGCAGTGCTCCGTAAAGAGATATAAAAAAGTAGGTGGAAAATGTGGATAAACCCATTCACATTCTAACCAAAGGCCAAAAATAACACTAATATCAAAAGGAATAATACAAGACAACAAATCCCCCCAAATGGGTAGAGATTGGGACTAATTACAATTTTTTTTTTTTTTTTTTGCAATCAAATATAACAAAACTGCAGACACATCATCTACAATTTTCATTTCAAGGAACAAAAAAATCTACAGAGGAAGAAAAAACAAGTATTTATTTAATCACTAGTTTCTGCTTCTCTCGACTCTGAAAGTTTAGCACCATCACTGTTTGAACAAGATCCACCCAAATCGCTACATCCCACCTGCTTCGCATCAGGATCGTCACAGCTGCTGCTGCTGCTGCATTGTTTTACAAAACTGTCTACCATGGAGTTGGAAGAAAGTGTAACCAAACTCATGGCAGCAATGCCATCGGCTATAGCACTAACGTCTCTGGCTCCACTGTACAGACCCCTGTTTCCGGCCACAAGGATACCTTTTTTGTCATCTGCGGTAGTCAGAACTGCTGGCAATACATCAATCAATGGAGGGTTGCTCTGTGTTGAACCACTGATGAGTAGCCGAAGGGTTTCTCTAGCACCCTTTTCCACCATGGCATCAGAATCAGGTAATAACGGGTTCACGAGTTTTGGATGCAATGGAGGAATTGTTGTTGAAATAGTTGGACCAGCACTAACTAAGTAACCTTGTCCTGAAGAGCAAACATCAATGACTGGAATATGAACAATGGGATCGCAAATCAAAGGCGTGAAGGTTGGGATTTGCTGTGAACTTGCCATTGGAAATCTGACCAACGGTTCTGGGAGGAAAGCCGGAAAATCCAGCGAAGGAACATCAGCCAGATCTAGAGGCGCTGTTGGTTTCAACATGCTAGAGGCACCATTCGCTGGCAATATTGAAGAAAGTGGAGGGAGCTTAAGAGATTCAATTGATGCAGTTGACAGTTCAGAAGCAACTGAATGTTGCAGAGTTGATGATCCTGGAGGACACCAACAATAATAGGGAGAAAAGATAGGTGGTCCCAGGGAGGAAACTTGAGATACAGAGCTTAAAGTTGGTGGAATGGCAAGTTTTCCAAGAGATTCCAGGAAGTTTGGCGCGAATGGACAACTCTTGACATCTGGGATTTTGTCATTTTCACCTTGGTTGCAATTAGATGAATCATTTGTAATAGGTGAAGCAATTGTAAGGCTCTCATTTAATGAAAGATGGTTATCAGCACGCCTTCGTAACTTATCTCTGGCAGTGCTCCTCAAGGAAGACAAATTTCGGGTCAAACATTCTTTGAAAGAACTTGATCTTGGACTTAAGCTACCTTGATAAAGTGCATTCACCTTGAGTACCTGATTGCTAGAGTGCCGGGATCGCAAAGATTTTGATGTCAATGAAGATTGTCCATTGTGCACATTGCTCATTTCAAGAACCGTATTGGGTGAGGGTGAACCTGAACAAGTTGCTCGTGTATTACTCACTGTTGTTCCGACAAGATAGGCACGGAGCTGAGTTGCAAAGCAGCCTAGTCGTGACTCGCTGATTCCAGTTAATTCAGCAATAGATGGCTTTCTTTTGATTAAATCCTTCAGCTATCATGGAGAGAACATACCATTAGATGGCAATCGCTTGACAAAAGAACAATTTGCATACAGATCTAATAATAAGAGTTAAACATCAATCGCCTAGATGATGCTAGATTGGTGTAAACACAAAATATGATTTAAGAAAATTCCAACTTTATTGTAGGTATGAACGTCTGCACAAGCAAAGGACGGTTACTAATGAGAAAACCACAATTACCTTTGAGAGCAATTCAACCCCTAAGAGCTCTGACTTCTCAGAGCACCAATAGTAAAAAACTTTGCCATCAGGGATCTTCACAAGGAAAGATCGTCCAGAATTGTCGGCTGGGATCTCATTAATGGAAACAGCAGCACACTGAGGTTTGCCACTGAAGGTAAAAAGTCTCTCTATTTGACCGTCATCCCCAACGAATGAAAGGCGCAAGTCCGACGCTGGCAAGAGTGTAAGACTCAAATTTCCCCTGTATCAATTCAAAAAGGTCGGAAAACATTTTAGACAAAGTAAGAGGGTAACTACAAGTAAAGTATAAACAGCAATAAGAGAAAAGTAAGTTATAACCATAAATATCAAATCCATTACATTACACCTTGCATGTAGGAAGCTGTATGATTTAGCAGTTTAAATCATCAAAAAAATTCCCCAGCCGAGAGTGGAGAGCAGAATGAAGAAAGTTATAGTTCAGGCAACCAAATAAGATTTAGGCTAAAATAATTAAAAAAAAAACCCGTAACATTATTACTTCATTTATATAAACCCTTATATTTTTATTGCACCCAAATAAGCCCTTAATTTTTAATTTGTATCCAAATTAACCCTTAAACTTTACTTTATACCTAAACAAACCTTTAAAATAAATAAAATTTTCATTTGAAATAAAGGTTTACTTGGATAGAATTAACGGATATGGGTTTATTAGAGTACAATTGAAGTATTGGGACTTGATGTAAGAAAAGTGAAATAATATATGGCCTTTGTTAGTATTTTAGCCTAAGATTTAAAATAAGTACAAAGGTTTCGGCAAGGACTGTTATTATCGATGTTTAGGGAAGGTTGAGAGCTAATGTTTCATTGTATCTGCCGCTAGCAAATAGATAACTATCTCTGCAACTAGAAAGCCTGAATAACAAGTTAATAACAAATCTCTATAGAAATTTGGTATTACCTATATCAAGAATCACACATGATTCACAAAGTACCATCCGACATGAACATTAACCATGTAAAACTTAATATTCGGTTTTTGTTCTGAGAAAGAATTCAATAAATCAATAATAAGATGCCCGTGCTCAATGCTTTAATGTCCACTAAAGAACCAGTCTTACATTTTATATATTTTCCAATCATATTGGTTTAATGGATTCAGCAGTTAAAGACAATCTAGGTGATATCCTGTGACACATTTTACAATCTTCTTTTACACAAACATGGACAAATCTGAACAGCTCTAAGAGGTTTCCACACAACCGCTTCCAGAATTTGACCAATTCATGACAACAAAACAAAATCATCAATCAAAACAAGGAATGGAATTACATAGCAAAAGAATAACATCGAAATTATAAGAATGGTACGGAAAATATTCAGTTCAGAATTCAACAAAATTCACAGCAAAATGAAGAATACTGATACTGACAAAGCAGCATAACTGTAATTCATACAATGTCATTAGCACTCAAACCTATAATTGATTCATTGAATGTCAACGCTACATATCCACAAAACAGCAACAGCAAACTATATAATATAGGAGATGAAACTACCTTTACTTCCTCATAATTCAGAGATCATTAGAATACGCCCACTTTACCTACAAGTCAAAAGATATATTTATTTGCAAGCATGAACATGATCACCAACAACAAACTAAAATAGAACCCTGCAATTTTTACCAACTATTAACCACTAAACATACACCTTCCATTCAGATTATATTGTAGAGTTAACCTAGTACTAAAGGACAGATTCCAACACATGAAATCAATTCAAGTAGATGCTAAATCAAAGCACTATGGGAGACAACTTATAATGTAGGGCCAAGATATAGGAAATTTTGCAGACAACAGTCATGAAAACATAATAAATAGACCGATCTCCAAACTTCTAACCATGCTGAAATGCAACCAGCAAAGATGCAGCAATCTACAAATCATGAAAATTAATCAAATTAAAGACTCAAGACAAGGCTAAATTAAACAAGAATGCCTTCAGAAAATCATAATCATAATCCAACGATAAACACTATCTAGACTCATGCATCAAAAAGTAAAAAAAATTCAGAAAAATCACTACAGTTAAGAAATAATCCAACATAGGGTACAATGGCACGTTGATAGCATAACCAAGCCCAACGATCAGATAAAGAGTAGGTACTCTCAGTTTCGCAGTGTAATATGACAAAACACACAGAAATAGCCACTTGCAACAGTCAGCACATATAATCATGTGATAATACATGCCATCCAAACTTACTGGTAGTAAATATGTGTGACATACTGCGAAAGACCAGAATATTTATAACTCAGGTATATTTTAAAACCAAGCTGCCTGGATGGGATATTGAAAGCATTACCATACATAATACAATCAATTAATATCATCTTAATTCCCAAAATGGAGACAGGAAGGCAGAAAAGAAGAGTTATGCTAATCCAAGGTAAATTACCAAAATGCTGTATAATTAAAGATTACGAAACCATTATAATTGCATCATTAATGATCATGTAAGATGGGTCCAAAACTAAAGAAAAAAAGGTAAACTTCGGATTGTAACTATATCTATAATTGATCTTAAATCAACCAAATAATATTAGTTTCTAGGGATAGCCGAATATCATAATCCAGAGGAAATAGTTTACAATGATAACATGCTTTTCGGTAACATTTTCGGCTGTGTGATAGATGTTATTAATAAATGCTAATCATTTGCAACAAAAATGATAAATCAGAGACTTCGATATCTATAAGAATTCAATTACCTTACAGCAGTAGGGTGAAAATGAGTCCCTTGTTTGTTGATCTTCCCAACTCGAATAGAAACCAATGGTATGCAAAAACACCTCGCCAGCATACCAACTTCCGATGGCTCAAAGTGCTGAGGATTTTATCAAAACAAATGAAATTAAACACAAAATGCAAAATTGAAACTTTTAAATATAAAAAGGAAACCTTGAATCATATGTTCAATTTAATCCTAAAAACTTTCGAACAATTACATCAATTGAATTCCAAATTATCAACAATACCTTACTCAAATGAGCTAACAACCGATCCTCAGCGACGCCGTTTGAAACGTTGACTTTCAACAAAGGCTTTAACCTTTCATCGGTTCGACAAGCGCCGATTACTTGCATATCTAAAGCTTGTAACCATTGCAGAACCCTATCTTCTCGATCGGTCTGTTGAAGCAACAAATCTCCGTCGTTTTCCTCTACGAATATGTCGGTTAATCGTTCCGCAAGTCCGATTTCGTCCCTCATCTCACTACTTTGTCTTGTTCCAGATCCAAAGCCAGAAGCCTCAACAACGCCGTTGATTGACAACGATTCATCCGATGAATCGATCAATTCATCCTCACTTCGATCCACATGATCGTCAACAAATTCTCGGTCTCTAGAATCAGCCATCGTTGAATTCAAATAAAATAATAAAAAAAACTTTTAAAAAAATCAGATTCTTTCAAAATTTTTATTATTACGAAACCAGATTCGATTACCAAAAAAAATCAGAATTAAAAGCGCCACAATCGAGGAGAGAGTCGTTTTCTATAGAGAGAAAGATGGAAGAGTGTTTGAGAGAGAAAAGAATCTCCTTCGCAAAAAAATGGTATGAGAAAGATAAGGAAGAAAGCCCGAAGCTGGTTTTATCCGGAAGAAGGAAAAAAAACCAGGCGGACGTCAAGTAGCTTTATGCAATACGGTTAATTGTTGTCCGGATTGAGATCCGTGCTTTGATTGATTTTGATTGGTTTTTGGTTAAAGCCCCTGTCAGATTTTTTTCATTGGTTGTGGGCCCCAGTCCAATAGAAAAGCCACGTCAGGGCGGTGACACTGAAGGGCTGACCTGTACTCGTTTGTTGTTTTAATGAATTTGTTTGGGGACGAAGAAACGGATAGAAACGAAAAGAAAATATCAGAAGAAATACTAGTGTAACAATCAAGGCATGGAAAATGACAGTTTAAAAGAGTACTAGTTAGTAGTGTAAGCGTAAATAATACGTCAGAATTATTAAGTTATTAATTAAATTTAAATACGATTCAATTAATATTAAATTAATTTTAAATAATTTAATTTTTTTAAAAAATTAATTTAAAAGTTTTATTTTATAATTTAAATAGATCATAAATTTAATCAAATTTTTATATTTTAATATATATTTAGTATTTTAATTAAAAATTATTATTTTATTTATATATATACATTGGAATTTAAATTTAAATAATTAAATTTATAATCAAATATAAAATATAAAATTATTTTTTATTTGATAAATAAATCAAATTAAATGATTTTGAATAATTTAATTTTTATTTTAAATCAAATTTAAATTTAAAATTTGGTTGGGATCAAATCAAAATTTTAAAATTTATTTAAATATTTTATAATATTTATTTTATTCGACTCAATTATATCATACTAAATTAATTAGTGGCAGAAATATTATTGTAATAATCAGGGCATGGAAAAGGACAGGTTAATATGTAGTTAGCAATAGGATTTTTGCGAGGGAAAGGGAATATTCGGGGCTTGACGATAGAGGATTCAAAATTGGTACAGACAAATATTAAAAGTGGGGTCATTAAAAGGGACTTGATTGATAGTTCACGATGCAAATAAGAGCGAAGTTTTTAAATAAATATATGAGTGGTGGAAAGTGATTTAATTGATTTCCAATTATTAGATCCGACGACATTAACACATTATAATATAAATAAAAAAATAAAAAAATTTAAAATTTTAATAATAATTATATTTTTATATTAACATAAATTATGAAATAATTTTTATATAAAATATGATATATATATATATAAATTTTAATATTTTATAAATATGAATATACAAATAATAAGATTTACCAATTACTATATAAATATAAAAAAATTTTATAGTAAAAAAATAAAAATTTTACTAATTAAATTTAAAAATATCATAGTCAAGATTTAATTTTAAAAATCACTCTTAAAATAAAATTTTAAATTCATTAAGTCGATATAAAAATTTTATTTTAAAGTTAGTAAAAAAATTAATAACTAAATCCATGAATAAATTTAATAATTTAAAATACGATGTAATTATATGATAAAAATATTATATGAATATAAAATATAAAAATAATAATTTAAAATTTTAATAATAATTATATATAAATTTAATAAAATAAAAAATATTTTATAATTGTATATCAACATGAATTATAATACATAATTTTTTTATAAGATATCACATAAATATATAAATTTTAATATTTTATATGATATGAAAATAAAAATAGTTAAATAAAAAATATTTTATATTTTATATCAACATGAATTATAATACATAATTTTTTTATAAGATATAATATAAATATATAAATTTCAATATTTTATATGATATGAAAATAAAAATAGTTAAATAAAAAATATTTTATATTTTTATATCAACATGAATTATAATACATAATTTTTTTATAAGATATAATATAAATATATAAATTTTAGTATTTTATATGATATGAAAATAAAAATAGTTAAATCTACACGACATAAAATCAAAAATAGTTAAATCTATCTATAAATTATGCCGTAGGAAACATGGAAATGTCATAGACAGCTGCATCAGTTAAGCCGGCAGCGTAAAGATCAGTACCCAGGCAACAGAAATCAATGCAGTTGACATCCAAAGCTGGTCCTAACAGCAATTAAACTAGGAAGATAGAAGATAGTTACCTTGAAATGATAATCACAGTGATAGATACAAGATTCAGAGAGAGCTAAAGATGCCAAATCCTTTTCATTAGCAGAATTCGATTTCGACCATCGATGTAAATTGTCTTCTAATCTTCAGGCAAAGTTGATTTTTTTACCTCAAAATTTTCCACACGAACAATAATTTTGGTGAAAATCTAAATCAAAGTCACAACATGGCCAGAATTCAGAGTCTAACCGGTAACCTATCAAAGTAAGCCTTACTACATAGTCATTTCTTTTTCTTTGGTTCCGCCGCGTAATCATTTACTAGTGTTTCAACATCCTTCCAGAATTGATCCTCCATCAATACTCCACCCTTAGCTAGTGAACCTACAATATTTCAACAGGTTAGAAATGTAATACGGAAGAGTAATGATCGGAAGGAGGTTGAAGGAAAAGGGAGATACCACTGGGTAACACTTTTAGTGAACTCAACTGGTTTTCCGGCAGATATTGACTTGGGATCTGAACTTGCTGTAGTAAGTGTATAAAGATCAGAGAATCTTGGCAACTTTGAAGAGACCACCAAACCGGTGCTAGTGATGGAACCCTACAAACATGAAATCTGAACTTAGATGTAGAAAACAACACACATGGGGCTTCATATGCAAGTATGCACAAGGTTATGGAGGATTTACTTTTAATCTCCGTAATTTGATAAGTTCCTTTCAGCCAAAGGCACACATAAAGCATTTGCCTACACTGTGTAAGCTTTTTCTGAAAGACCATAGAGGTTAGCAACAATCGGGGTTTGTATGTGTAGAGTTTGTACAAGAAATATAATACCTCGGGGAATATTCAAGAATGTAGATATCTATTGGGATACTAGGCATTATTCCACATCATTAGTGTAAAGCTTTGGTATAGATTAAAAAAAGGCAACGTCGTGAAAAGTTACGGATGAAATGTAACAGTTTCATGATAAAGAACGCACAAGAAAAGTAGATGAAGTCGTAAAACACTTTCCTTGGATGGAAAAAGCTCTTATGAGCATCTTGCAGTGGAATGAAAAGCATAGAACTGAGCTAAAGATAGACAAATAGCAAAACATGCATAAGATCAAACTGCTATCCCTCAATTTCATTTATGATAATAAAAGTACTTTTTAACTTTCCAATAAAACTTGACCCCAGTGTTAGATGACAAAAATTCGAATTAAACAGTCCCAAACTCGAGCCTATCTCATCATGCCAATAAGATTAAATAGAGTTAGATGGTAATCTCAAGAATCAGTAACCATGCCAATGTTGAGGAACGTTCAACATCACAGGCTTAAGCACGTCAAGCCCAAAGTGCACACTCATCATACATGAAGATAATCTCAGCTTAAAGAAAAAGAAATCAATGCATGACATAAGATATAACATAAAGAAATGTTCGATTAGAAAGAAACGGAACTTGCTGCAGGAGGATAAGTAAATAGAATTGCGTTCTTTTCCTTTGTGTAGATGATCAGCTGGAGTAGTCCATAGAACAATATACTTGCCAGAGTCAAGGATCAAAAGGAACATGAAAGTAACATACAAGATGACGCTCTTTGGTTGCCAAGAAAAGCAAGGTAAATAAAAGGAAACCAAGATGAAATCTTTAACAGCATCTTGTCCTAGTAGTAGATACACTCTGACCAAATGGTTTCAGGTTTAAGCATTAGAAACTTAGGAAAGAAAAAGGGATTGTAATCATTTTGGTCTCTGTTCACAAGTTTACACAAAAAAGCCAGGCATTGAATCAAGGTTGGCTGAAGCGTGAAAGTTTCTTCCTCAAAGCTCTTAATCACTTAAAATGGTACTAAATAGATGAGAATTCAACAGAATTTAGTTTCAAAACAAAACTTCCATACGATCAGACTAGAAGAAATGCATTAAATTATGCATATATATATGCATTAAATTTAATATATTCAACCTAATATATTTAACCTGATTCCACTTTCATATGGTTCAATTATGCTTAAATGCACATTAAATTTTATATATTTGTTCATTTCAATGAAAATAATTTCTTATATTACCACTTGTTTCCATTAGATAATAAAATTAACCATCAAACAGAACTTAAATTAAATTCTTTTCGATTAATATCACAATTTTTTAAACATAGATAATTCATATATTTATATTATATAAAATATTAAAATTTTTGTATTCAAATCATATTTTATATAAAAATTATTTATCGACATAAAAATATGAAATATATATTTTTAATTTTATTAAACTCATATATAATTATTATTAAAATTTTAAATTATGTCATATTTATATTTTATTTTTGTATCATATTTATGTTATATTTTAGATTGTTGGGTATACAAATTTTTAATTAAAACTGCTAAACAAACAGCAATTCAATTCAAATTTATCCAAAACATTATCAATATTTATCTAGCAATTACAATAAACCAAAACAAGAAACTCTGAGAAAAAGGATATAAAACGACGCAACCGATGAGGAAATCGCGGTTCTCGGGGAACTTCTTTTTGTAAAATTGACCAAAAAGAGCGATTACAATTATAATCGTTCCAAGGAATACTTTGACATTACTCATCCTCACATCTTCTACATATCCACGACTCCTAACAATCTATTTGAAATCCAAAATTTTAAAAAAGAGAAATAATTATTCAAAAATTGAGCTGTGATTGTGAAGATTAATGGATCTAGGGTTGTTTTTGAACTTTTTTTTCAAAATTTTTTTTTAACCTCAGAGGCGGATTCGTCGCGGCTGTGTTTGATGGATTGGTGATCTAAGAGATTCGCTTTCTTTGCCTTTTTGCTTCCCGTTTCTGCCTGATCTTGCATTTTTGGAGGTTCTGTTTGGGCAAGGAAATGGCGTTGCTGATATTCTGAGACTGGAGGAGTGAAGATGGGCAGTGTTAACGAAATCAAGGTTTATAAGTGGTCCGACGAAATGCCGAAACGGCGGTCGATTAAGGGTCGGGTCATCAATACTCACAAACTATGGGACTCAAACAAAATTCCGGCTCGATCATTGATAAATCGATCTTAAGTTGGAGCAGCTTGACTTTTTCGGTAAGTCTTGAACATTTTAATGTTTGAATTAAAAAGTTTACTACTCTAATCGTATTTTTAAATTTTAATATATTTTTATTATTTTAATAAAAAAATTATTATTATTTATATATATAAATTTAAATCAAAATTTAAAAATAATTATTATTTTACTTATATATATTAACTTTCAAATTTAAATATATAATTAAATTTAAAATTAAATACAAAAATCAAATTTATTTTTATTAAATAAATTTAAATTTAAATAATTTAATATTTATTTCGAATCAAATTTAAATTTTAAAATTAAAATTTGATTTAATTTAAATTAAATTTCAAACAATTAATTTCAAGTTAAACTTGAATTCGATGTGATTAGATTCTTAATCATTGAGTTCTTTTTTTTATTTATTTGAGTTTAATAAATTTTTATCTCAAAATTAAAAATCTTTGTATCAAAATATTTGAATCCGGTTAATTTAGTTGACAAGTTTTTTTTTTTTTTTTTTTGTTAATTCAGATTTAATCTTGAAGAGCAAAAGTAAAATTTTAAATATATTAAATCGACATGAAAAATAACTGATAAAATCTAAAAATACTCTGACTGTATACAGAAATCGACTGAACTATGAAGCTTTTATATAGAACAAATTGAACTGTATATAGAACCCATAAATGATTTTATTTTCTACAAGTACTCCTTATAAATCCCTTCTATTTCAAGCTACATGCCTGCTAATATATTCTATAATCCAAGTTGAATGTTTTGACCAACAACACACGAATGAGGAGAGCGAGAGAGTTTCAGGGTCAAGGAGGCTTAGATTTCAGAGTATGGATGCCATCCTTAACAAGCAACAATTGAGTACCCTTGACAAGTTCCTCTTTAACCATGAACAAGACAGCAGCTGCCAGAACGCTTTGTACGATTTTCGTGTTCATACCTTTGTAAAAGCCGGAGAAGCCTTCGTAGCGGATTATCTTTAGAATGGCATCCAGAGTCCCTATATAGATGAAGATGATGGAAATAGAACAAATTAATGTAATGAATCCAAACATAACACAAGCAGAGTTTGCATTCATGGAAAATAATCTATCTTCGTATATTCATATCACGTAAACTTCACCATACTGACTCAAACCTTTGTAATGATGCCTTCTGTCCCCAGTTGTAACTTGTTTTGCTTGTAATCTTGACTGCAAAAGCAACAAAGAAATGGATAAGAGTTTGACTCATTTTTCTAGTGATAACGAAAGGTTATCACTTATCATGACCAACTCATGGGGCCATGGTTTATAGTTATGATTTTGGCAGGCCATCGAATTTTTCTTTTTCACTAGTCATCTAATACTCATTGCGATTCTTAAAATTCATTTATCTAATTTCAACTGATTCGGAACAGTTCAGAACAAGTTTTTTTCTCCGTCTAGAGAATGCATGTCTACATGTCGTACATCATACCTTTACAACATTAAGGGGATACGTTACAACAGTGGCTCCGAGTTTTGCCAAAGCTCCAAGAAGAAATATCTAGCATAATTAGACAATTCATTCAGAGATTAAAATAGAGAAGAAAAACGCATTTGCAAGGAACATTGACATAAGAAGATGACATAATTATTATTAAAGAGAGATGAACTCAGAGCCAACCTCCAATGCAGTTACTCCGTTTTTACCCTGCTTACTAAGGGTCCGGCTCTTCTTCAGCTTCTTCAACATCGTTTCATACAGCATAAATTGTATAGAAGGATTGCTGACCTGTTGATGACAACAGGAACTATTAGTGATACTCCCTTACCAGATGTAACAGTCACTTCTCACATACCATGATCAATGTTGGGAATACACCTTTCCAGAAGCCCCAAAATCCAGCTTCATCATAGACTTCTTGAATCTGAAAGTATTCCATATGCAAAAGAATGTGACAAAAAATCTTGCATTTTGGTTGACATCAACAAGGAAACAAAATTTCAAATTAATTAACCCAAATATTTGGGATATTTATAAGTACTGACCAGGCAAACATAATTTGCCAAACTCCATGTCCAATAAGAAAATACTTATAACATAATATAACATTTGGCACTGCATTCCAACTTCATGCACATTATTTTCAAGCAATAAATCATGCCATATTAAAGGTCTACAATAACTGATTAATTCTGACATTAGTTATTAACTAGACTTGCTATAAATTAGATGCATTAATTCTAAAATAGTTTTATCTACCAAGAAAATTTATCTTTTATCTAAGTGAATGCCCATCATTCATTATTTTCATCACTTATTAGTTATCATCAATCAGCGATCGTATCAATGAGTCCTATCCTTGTAGCCATTCCACCACACAGCACAAGCATCATCATTTATCAATAGGGGAGATGTGAATTAATGCTTTCATATTTTTTGTATTTCATTATAGAGGTTAAAACTGCAATATTCTACCATTTCCATGGAAGAGAACTTTTATGAGCTTCAATGTTATAAGTGAACTACATAAAGAACTATATAGACCAAGCAACAGTGCGTACCGCATGGCTAGTTCCATAAGGAAGAGGCTCAATGACAGAAAGGACTGTTTCCTCTGGTGTAGTGGTTGCCAACCTATTAGGATAGTCTTTCTCTGAGATTTTTGAGTGAGTCTGCACCACAATAGTTGTTTAATTGAAATATGAACAAACATTTAAACTGAAAAAGAAATAGATACCTTCAAATTATTGTGCATAATTTATGTGTGATCTTAAACAGAAGTGTAGATGCTAAGCATTGACTAATGTTAGGCATACTGATAAAGAACATGTTTATCACACCCAAGAGGTCATATCAGTTGCCCCTATTTTCTCAGGCATAATTTGGCCTGGGAATCTTGGATAATTAAAGAATTATGGCCATTGGCTTAGATCAAAAGCATCACGCTTGTTGTAATGGATTTATTTGTGGACTTTGCGAAGAAATGCATACGTTAAAGTTCGTTCATTCTATGTTTTACAGCAAATAAGAAGCTTTCTGAAATGGATATTTGCTTTTTACCTGCATGTGTGTCACAACTACCCAAATGGGGTTTGTCAACAGCACATTTACGCACCTACACAGAGAAATGATTAAGCATATATTTAGTTCACAGATATATAGACAATAGAAAATTAATACTCAATTGTGGATATTTTCTGGAAGAAATTGGAGTGCTTGCTTTACAGTTTATAAAAGAGCTTTTGAGAAGCTGATGCAACAACAGCCAGAGGAAATCAGATTTCAGGCAAAATTAAAAATAAATAAAACTAGATTACCCAGCTAAAGCAGCTAAAATAAGTGATGAAATCATTCCAACTGATCCATCACCAACCCCTTTTTTCTGGCGTTCAACTGCTGCAGTTTCAGCTTTGTTCCTGAATATTTGATAGAAATAATAGTAAACACCCTGTATCATAGAAACAGCAAGTATTTACGAATCCAGATAAACTAAACAAACAGAATAGTGCAAATTTACAGAGTCAATTTACAAATAGAAAAAACAGGGGGTTAGTAGATGAATGACTCATAAACTATAGTAAAATATTCAATGTGATATCTAAACTTTAAAAATCTGTAATGTGGTACCTGAATTATGAATTTGTTTAGCTTCAAATGATGACATGTGGCAGACAAACAATCATTTAAGTACCACATTAGTTAACAAATTCATAGTTAAAGTACCATATTAGAGATTTTTAAAGTTCGGGTACCACATTGAATATTTCACTATAATTTAGGGGCCATTCATGACATTAACTCAAAAACAGTTTATGCATGGATTAGAAAGAAAGTCTAGTTCGAAAAAAGCAATGTATGAAGAATTTGGTTAAGCAACAAAAATATCTCCATGCAAAACATTCTCCATAGAGGTTGCAAGACAGTGATCAGGAATTCGATATCGCTCAATAGCATCTTCAAATGAATAAGAACATATTACTCCTAACTTGTATGTTAATTAATCCCAAAGCTAGCTTCAGTTTGGATTTTATATGCTATTTAGGACATGGGTTTTCATGAATATTAAGAAATTAATCTAGAAATAGAAAAAATACATGCAGCAATGACAAATCTGTCACCCCTAAGGGACCACATACCATTTACATTGAAAGTCACAATTCACTACTCTAAGCGAGTTTACAGTAGCCATTTGCCAAAAAGTAATACATTCAAAAAGCACTATTATCAAGGTAAGGATCACAAACTTATGGGGGAAAACTACTAACTTTTCTCAGTTTCAATGTAAAACTAAAGCATAACAAACCAAATTTGTTGCATTCCAATGACTCTTATGACAAATCCACTTCTCTTTTCTCACATCACACTCTCAGCAATCAAAAAAAGCAATAGAACAGTACTGAAACACCAAACAATAAAAAAGATACCTGTGATGCAGCTGTACCAACTAAAGAAGGGGTTAAGCCTCCGTACAACCGCTCCCATCCTTCTTGTTTTACAACCTATTCACAAAGTAAACAAACAAATTCAAGAATCAAGACTAAACACAAAATTACTAAGACTCCGTTTGGTTGCTGCTTTTACTATTTGCTTTCGCTTTCTTAAATATTGTTGAAAAGCAAAAGCAAAACCATAACTGATCGAAAATGAACATAAATTCTTGCTACCCAAACATGTAAAAAAGAAAAAAAAAAAAAACTAATCGAAAAATCAACAACCAAACAGTTCCTAACTTGAAAATTCGTTAACGTTAAATTTTCAGAATATTCCGTTAATTATAACATAAAAATCGTCATATAGCCCCAAAAAAAAGAAAAGAAAAACCTGGCACATTTGTTCAATGGTTCCAAGTTTCCGTTTCTCTTTCTTGAGATCACGCTCTGTTTGTTGACGAGTATTTACCTGTAGGTCAAATCAAGAACAGAATTGTTATTGTTTAATTTACATTAAAAAAAAGGAAAAGAGAATCGTACCACTTGAAGAGGATAAGTGATGAGTTGAGCGATGATCCCTCCCCCGGCTCCCGCAAGTCCATTGATCAAAGCGTCCGACATCGTTTTGAAAAACACAGACGATTAAAGAAACGTTAATATTTTCTCGAGAAAATCTGGTGTTTGGCAACGTTGTAAGGAAAAGCATGAAAATGCATAAAAAAAAAAAAGAGAGATCTAACGCTTTAGAGAGAGAGAGAGAGTTGCAGTAAATACTATCTCTGGCTTTGGCTGTAGCAAAGAAGCGTATCTTGGGAAGGGGGCTTTCGCTATCGAATTCCCCGTTTCTTTCTTTGTCGTAGTTGTTCCGTTTAAGAAAGCAAATGAAGGGGAATTTGATGTAAGAGCTATAAACATAAAGTATATATTAATAAGTGGATCAATCAAATTTAATTTCGTATAATTGTAGTGCTATTTGTATTTTCAAGTGTATTATTATTTTTTAAAAAAAATAAAGGCTCATTCACAAAACCACTTAATATATATATATATATATATATATTTCTCCTAATAAAGAAAACAAGAAAATAGTGATGAGTGTTTATAAAGATGGACTAAAGTGTTTTTTTGTTTTTTGGTTTGAAACTTGCAAAAGGGCTTTACATATAAAAATAGTTATGTTTAATTCATTATTTATTTTAGAATTTGATCAAAGCAACATTAATTTAAAATATTTTTTTCATTTTTTATTCAATACTCATAAAAAAGTAGTTGTCTTAATTATTAAATTCAAATTTTAGCTCATTTAATACTTTCTCTTTCATTTTACATATATATTTTAAATATTTAGTTGTTTTTTATTTTTTAATTTATTTTTTTATGATTTTTAATCATTTAACATTAAAATTATAGTACATTAATTTTATAAAATATTAAAATTTTAATATAAAATACATTAAAATTAATTTTTTCTTAAACTATGTGAAACTTAAATGTTAACAATCAAACAAGATGAAGGTAGTATTTTTTACTTTTTTTTTTCCCAAAAAAATTATATAAATAAAGTAACATCCTGAGGCTAGAGTCTACACTCTAGCACTGTGTACACCTAAATATTATACAGATTATCACTTACACTTGCTAGGATTTATTTTTTCCTCCTTAGATTTTTATGTCATTCCACCAAATTAAAAGCTCTTTGGGTGGAAGGTGCATCGGTTGGAAGCCGAATTGACAAATATATCCTCCATTATTTTACTAACTACGGAAATTACCCTCCCCTTGAGTTCGGCGTCAATATGCGTTTTATTGGGAGGTGTGCACAATGAGTCCGGCTGCCGTTGGCCACAATGCCGTTATATTACTAAAAATTAAAAACAAATAAAATTTTTAAAATTATTTGATACAAACTAAAATTTTTTAATTTCATAAAAATTAGATTTTTTAATTTTTAATTAATTTTTATTAGTTAATAAAATTTAAAAATTATATTTTCTCATGCTAATTTTCACAACAAAACTAATTGTTAGTAATTTTTTAATTTTCATAAAAAATTATAATGTCAAATGAAAAAGACTAAAATTTTGAATGAAAAATATATGAAAGCGTATTTTTAAAAATATTGAAGAAACAAATTAACTATTATTTAACTTCAAATAAAACTTAAAAATACGATTAATCTTATTTAAAAATAAAAAATGCTTTTTTTTCCTATAAAAAATATGCTTTGGATGCTTAACAAGGTTAAAACAGTCATTTGATGGTGCTGGTCCTTTTCTCCCCTTCCCAAGCAAACCATCTCTTTATAAAAACAAATCCAACCACCCGACGTTACGTTAGCATCAGCATAAACCTAAAACCACCGCCACAGACACCGCCATGGCCACTTCCTCTCGACCTCCGCCGCCAAGACCACTCGACCTCGGTTTCACGGTGGTGTCAGCCAAGCATCTAAAAAACGTCAACTGGCGAAACGGCGATCTCAAACCCTACGCAGTCTTCTGGGTCGATCCAGATCGACGTCTCTCAACCCGCTCAGACGATTCCGGCTCAACTAGACCGGTCTGGAACGAGCGCTTCACACTTCCCCTCGCTGTCCCTCTCCACGACGCCTTTTTAACACTCGAGATCTTCCACTCCAAACCCTCGGAAAATCCGAAACCTTTAGTCGCGACCCTCCGGGTTGATCTCAAAGAATTACCCGACCCGGAAGACAGTTCAAAGATCCGAACCTTTTCTCTCCTCCGACCATCGGGTCGTCCCCAAGGCAAGATTCGCGTGAAACTCGGAATCCGCGAACGTCCCCTTCCTCCACCTCATGATTACCATTATGCCCCTCCTTCTAGCTATTATTACACAAATGCCCCTCCTCCACCAAGATACTCTGCTTCGCCCTATGTTTCTCTTCCCCCGCCGCCTCTCCCACCGTCAGCCTCTCCTCCTCCTCCACGGCTACCGTACTCTGCCATCCCGGACGCTTACTCTCCCTATTACTCCAGCCATTACTATTCTTCTCCACCCCCGCCTATGCCTCCACGTCCCTTCTTCGAACGCTCTTCCGGCTATAGCACCCCATCGGCGCCAGTAGATTACTCGCCGTACGATCAGAAGCCTAGAGGTCTCAAAATGGGGCTCGGGACCGGATTAGCTGTTGGAGCTGTCGCGGGGGCTTTAGGAGGACTGGCATTAGAAGAAGGATTGAAATACGAAGAAGAAAAGATTGGTGAAAGAGTGGAGCATGATGTGGCATCAAGGGAGAGGGATGATTATGGTGATTATCATCTTTCTGAATATTGATTGGTTTTTTAATGCAATGCCTATGATGATGATGATGATGATGATGATGGCCAATGTTTATAAATATTTATGTAAATAGTTTGTGATCTGATGATGGGTTTGTGTTTTTAATGGTTGGGGATTAAAATGATCAGAGAAAGAGTGAGCTGAGAATAACTCTTTTGATATTTATTATGTGCTGATTTCTTCTGCTACGATAATAAATTGTTAGTCTTTACTTTAAAGCTTTAACTTTTGTTGTTAGTTTTATGTTGAATCTTTCCCATTTCGTTTCCTGAGTTAATTGTCGAATGTTTTCTCTGAGCTGCTGAATACGATGGTTGGAGTCTTGCCTGATGATGCTTGAAAGACTTTTATCTGTTTATTTTAAACTTGATAGAATTATAAGATTATGGTAGAAGAATACTGTTTTCATGTGATTTTTTCCGCTGAAGATTATGTTGATGAACAGAGGTTTAAAGGGGCATGGGGTATTGAGCTGAACTATGAACCAAACTACTGCCGGTGAGATCTTATTATGTAGACCTGGAGATTCGTGTATTCATTTTGTGTAAAGTACTGAAATTCGTGTCTTTGTGTCATGTTTCACACAAAAGTTGCATATCATAATTCGTATTGACACGAAAATATAAATTTTTTTTTTTTGTTTTGTTAAACCCATATATAGTTATTGATAAAATTTTAAACTGTGTTATTTTCGTGTCTTTTTTTGTATTAAGTCTATTATTAGGTTAAGTTATTCATGTTTTTGATGAAAAAGAAGGGTATGGTTAGGGGGAATAGGTCAAGGACCAATCTATATTCATCAATGTCAAGGAGCCATATTTGCAGACTTGCTCTATTTTGGAAGTTATAACTTTAGTTCCTTCAGGTTATACTTCTTCCTAGTAACAGAATTGCTGGTTTTAGTGATACTTGGAATGCTTTACGGAGTTTTTTCCTTTTGCTGCTATACATGCCCTGATGTGAGCTCCTCCTGGTGTGTGCTGTGTAGTATTTGAAGGCCAAATTCAGAGAAAGGTAAACTGTTAATTGACTCCATATACAAGTTCTTTTATTTGAGGGGTTAACATGTGTTTATATATGTTACATTCCTCAAGCTCTATCATCTAAGTAGTTAACGAATGATCCTTTATTAGGGAAGATATTCATCTATGGTGTCCTCTTGTCCTTTGAAACCTACAAAACCCTTTCTAGTTTAACTCAAGTATGTTAAGGTTGGCATGCTTTTTCATGTGTTTTGAAATCTGTCTGATTCCTGATTAGAGCTGATGCAAGACAAAAAAATGATTAGCGGTGCCAAGAGACCAGAGATGTTGCCGTCCATGTTATCCCTGCTGGTTTGCTATTGTCTGCATCATTGCTACTAGCGTGTCTTTGCCATGCTTCTCTTTACTCTCTGCCAAGCACCATTGTTGTTCCCCTTTCTGCTCCATCACTTGGCCTAAAGATTTCAGTTGTTATGATCAGTGGGAAGTTCTTGCTAGGCTTGAATTTGTAGCTCAGTTATTTATTAAGTTCTTGGCTACACTACCTAAATCCCAGTTTGCATATCAGATTATCGGTTCCTTCTCAAACTAAAAATCCATAAAAAAAAAATCAGATTTATCAATTCAATCATCAAAAACCTGGCAATTGTTGGCCACTAACCTTTCTGACAATGGATTTGGGTATTGTTTAAAGTGGAGAGTTGTTTTCATAAGGTAGAGCATTGGATTGGGGGAGCCCATGTTGCACATGTCCAAATAATTTTGTATGGGTGCTCTCGTTCCATGGTGTTGATCTGTAAAAGTTTAAGATTGGTTTCTTTTCTTGGACTGGGTGAGAGGTTGGGCTGAGACTTCTGTCTATACGTCACAGTTATAAAGAACATTATTCTTCAGAAAGTTATACTTGAGATGAGTTCACTTCTCTCAAAATTGTGTAAGTGGACATTGTTCTTCAGAAAGTTACAAGGAATTCCATCAAAAGCAAATTCATGAAAGAAAGAAAAGTTTTTAAGCTATCAATTTGTCTTTTCCATACGTGTTTTACTCCTTTTTTATAGAAAGGATGGAAAATAGGAAATTTTAGTATGGGAGTTAGGTTTCATTACGGTCCAATTAAAAACTACGCGATGACATGATAAAAATTATTTTTCCAATCATCCAAATGAAGCGTTAGCCATTAAGCATTAACTAGTCTTTTAATTTATGATTATTTAATATACAACAATTTTTTAAATCATTATCACATTCAAAATGATGAGAGTTGCCACAGGACAAGTTCAAGTGTATGGAGAAATAGTGAGAGGATGACAACAATGGGAGTGTCTTTGATTAAGTCATCTGTAATTATACATGCACCACAAATTCCACAATCAAACAGCAGAAATTCTGTTCAGAAATTGAGTGGAGCTAAGCTTAACTTCGCTGTATAGGGGTCCCGTTTTGAATACCAAATCCAAAATCTCAACTTTATTTTGTGCTCCACAACCATCACTTTTAATGTATAGTGCACAAACTTTGGTTTCAATTAATGCATATTTCCCCCCAAAATAAAGGCACTGTCTTTTCCCAAGATTGGAATTTTCCATCGTTCACCCCCTTCATTCTCTAGGGGTCTTATCTACCTGTTTTTCAGGATTTGTTGGATGTCTCTTGTTTGACAATCATGAGCTTTGCACAAAAGCAAACCCCCTACCTTTAGAAATTTGTATACCAAATACGTAAAAAAATATAAAAATATCATATGATAATTCTTATATAAACATAAAATATATATATTTTTTATTTTTAGCGAATCTATATATGATCTATTTTTACCAAATCTATAGCTAAGAAGAAAAACAAGCTGTGTTTGATTAAGAAAACCTATCTTTGTCCCTAACCTTTTTGACTAAACAAGTCTATATACTTCAAACACTGTTCTAAACACGTTAAAACTATGGATAAAATAATGCTTAATTTTTCGTGTTTTGCTTTCAGGTTTCTGTAAATTCATGTCCTTTAACATTTTTTTTATTAGCTAGTTGGTTGTTAGTGATGGTCATTGCAGCCAACATCAGTTAAATGGTTTTTTTAATTCAGCAATTCATAGTCTGATTCATGAATCTTGATGGGATTTTTTGGTTAATTCAGATTCATGATTGAAGTTGAACTTGTAAGCTTGATAAGCTAGTTCATGCATGCCACCCTGTAAAGAAAAACTTCCGATATTATTCAAAGATGGTGTTCATGCTTCACTAATCCATTGTTTTTTCTGAAACCTGGAAATTTTTTCAGGCAATTCAGATTCAGATTCAGAAGATTGAAGTTTGGATTTTGTAAACTTGTATATAGAAAACATCAGTTTTTGCTGATAGTGCCAGCTGCTGAGCAGTGATTGATAATTGCAGAGTTTGTATATATGATCAGAGTGCATTAAATTTACAGACATTAATGGACATGGAGATAATGGGATTTCAGGTTGCTTTAGGAAAATCTATAAAAAAAATAAAAAATAAAAAGAAAATTGCAAATGCAGCAATGTAAGAAGTGTGGCAAACATAGAAGAAAACAGTGAATTAATGCAGCAAAGAGATAAGCACTACTCCACTAGAGTTGATTAAGAAGTTTCTTGGTCTGTTTTATAAAAGATATTGAAATATATAACAAAGAAAGAACAGGAACATAAATTATCAAACCAGACAGCAAAATCATGATGCTTTTTCTTCCATTTGGTCAAAATTCAATTACTGCACGACTCGCCAACCTTGGTGCTCCTCCATTAGTGGAATCAAAGATATAAAAATATGTACCTAGAGAGAGATTTATATATAGTCTTTGCTTTGGTTTCTCTTTGGTTTATTATTGTTTCTTGTGATTGATTCATGGAAGAGAAGGGACCCCCAATGCCCCATCCCCAACAAGTTGAAATGTTTAACATATATATCCACTCAGTTTTATTAGTTTTCACTTGCTAGGCTTTTCATTCCTGGAAATAACCATGCTCGATACATATCTGATAGACATGAATACGGAGTTTCAACCTTTCAAATAAATGAAAAAACTGAAAAAAATTGAACGTACTCGTGTCGGACACATAACCGAGTTTGAGTAACGAGGGTTGTCACAAACAGTTTTGATCAACATATAGCTTATCTGTATCACTACTTTTGTCAGAAATAATTAACATGTTCGTGCAAGGCGGACGTCCTTGTTTAATACAATTCAAAAGCTAGTTGCTAAGCTATAACAAGGGTGTATTATTTACCGTATGAAAGTGAAGCCGCCATCTTTTTAGCAAATTTTGTTCTGTTGAAGCTGTTAAATCTTTGACAGCTTCAACGACTGTCAGCATCAGTTGTGCAGAACGTGCATTGCATTTGGCAACTTCACTACTCATATGAGTATGACACTTTGATCTGCAAAATTAATGCACAAAACATCACCTAAAACACCCTATGCCGAGTCCATCTAACATAGGCTTAGGAATTTCGTAAGCATTTTTGCTATACTCTTGTACTAGCTAGTAGAAGGAATCATTAGGGCTAAAATCATGAAAGTGCAGCATTATGCTGCACAATGCAATTTGTCCTTTCAAATCTTGAAGAATCAAGCTAATGATAAGGATTTCGACAAGATCTTCATGCTATGTAGTAGTATATTGAAGAATCGTCATGGACATTTTGTTTCTGCTTTTGATCTTTGTCTGATCACTTCAATGTATCAGCTGAAAGTTTTGGCCAATACTGAAAAGATAAGCCTGTTTTGGTGAGCCACTCAAACAACTTGAGAACCTAATGCAGCTGGAGAGTTGTCACTCTGACAAAATCAGGCTACCAAGATAATGCATGAAACAATGCTGGCTTGGTTGAAGAATTCAAATTCTTATGTCAGATCCATGGAATTGTTCTTGGGTTGCGTCTAGTGGTTGCACTCAAAATGTTCATATCTAGAAAAAGGAAGAAGGTTGTATGATTAACCTGAATTTGCCAAGAACCAAATGTGTCATTCATTTAATTGCTCATTAGCCTTCTCCTCTTTCGTAATGTTCCATTTGGATCATATGCAATTTAAAAAACTCAAGTTTTTCATCCTTGATTTTTTAAATTCCTTCAAAATCCATTCATCCCTCAAGATGCTGTTAGAATTTGGATAAAACATGAACGAATACTTATCACGGACGGTAATAATACAAGTAGGAAATTTCATCAATAGATTGTAGATGAAAAAATTTAAGTTTTAAATCATGGATTAAATAA